AACCAGATCTTAACTCTCATTACTACCTTACTAACCAGATCTTAACTCTCATTACTACCTTACTAACCAGATCTTAACTCTCATTACTACCTTACTAACCAGATCTTAACTCTCATTACTACCTTACTAACCAGATCTTAACTCTCATTACTACCTTACTAACCAGATCTTAACTCTCATTACTACCTTACTAACCAGATCTTAACTCTCATTACTACCTTACTAACCAGATCTTAACTCTCATTACTACCTTACTAACCAGATCTTAACTCTCATTACTACCTTACTAACCAGATCTTAACTCTCATTACTACCTTACTAACCAGATCTTAACTCTCATTACTACCTTACTAACCAGATCTTAACTCTCATTACTACCTTACTCATCAGATATCTAATTATTTTCATATGATTTCTCACATCTCACTCAAGTCTCATTACTTACCCTATCTTTTTAACCTTTTCTGATAATTACTGAAATAACTAAATCCTTTTTTTAGTTTAATTCTGATATTAAATTTTTAAAATCTCTTTAATTTTTTGAACTACGCCTTTAATTTGTAATTGCCGATTTCACAGATTTGAACCATTTAATAAAATAACATTATTCAACTTAATCATATCAAACATGGTAAGTAGTATATGTTGAAGGGTTTTGTGACTTTTTTTGTAAACGTAAGAATTCATACATTTTTGAGCGATTTTGTATCATTTTTTTTTACATATGAAGTAAAAAATGTATGATTTTTACGGTTTTTATTCTTACGTTTTTGAATAAATCAAGATTTAAAAATTTTCAGAATCGTAAGAAATTTTCACTAAACCCATACATAATGAAATAAAAAAATAAAAAAATAAACTTTAAGAAACTAATGATTATTTGAATTTATGAAATCAATAATTTGATTTATTCGCTCTTCAATAATTTCTATTCTTTTTGTTAAATCATCTATTTTCATTAATGAGGTGATTCTTGATTGAGGAATAGATTTCAAACTAACCACTCCTTTTATTTTTGAAATTTTGAATCCATGACCCTCCGGGTCTTGGACTCTGTCCTCAACTTTAAACATTTTATTCAATTTACATGTTGTCAATTCTTCAAATAATTTTTTATTATTAGCATAATAGTCATTAAATTCTTCAACAGATGAAAAAATTTTTATTTCAGTGATGGGTTTAACAACGTTTATTTTTTGTTTTTTGTTCATTTATTTCTTCCTCCTCTGTTTCATTTATTTTTAAAATTGGTTTCATTTATGATTAAATAAAAATTAGAATATAAGTGATGAAATATATTTTTTAATTAATATTAAATCAGAAATGGCGGCAGGATTCTTTAAAAAATTATGGGAAGGAATTAAGAAAGCTGCAAGTTGGGTTCATCAAAAGATTAAAACCCGTTGCAAACTTTTTGGCACCAGTAGCGAAAACGGCAGGAACTATCATAGGTGGAGTATTAGGTGCTAAAGCAGGTAATCCGGCGATGGGAGCACAAGCAGGTAACGCAGTTGGTGGAATTGCTGAAGGAATACTTAATAAAATAGGAGGAAAGTAGTGGAAAAATAAATATTATTTTTATCTAGTATCGGTTGTAGTCGACGATAAACTTTATCTCCTTTATTTAATACTTCCCTTACCGGAACATTAGGTGCTATTTGTTCAGCAACGTCACTAATTGCTTCTTTATTCTTAAATATCCAATTTGCTCCTTCTTCATTGTTTCCCAAACTTTATGCGCTCCTCTTTTTACTTTATCCCACAGTTTCTTAAAGAATCCTGCAGCCATAGTTGATTATTTCATTAAAATTAAAAATTCATTTTCATCTTTTAATTTTGATTTTTTATTTATAATAAATGACGACTAACTATTTGGTGCCAAACACTAAACCGATTAATGGAAATGTGTTTCATTCATTCGAAAAGATAAATGAAATATTCGCAAAGAATGACGGTAGAAGATATTATAGAGAACTTGAAAGTTCATGCTATGACTCTGATGCTCCATATTTTGATGATAAACAAACTCATTTAAGAATTACAAATCCGGCTCATGATGTGAACCAATTAGGTGACACATATATTAAACGCAAAGTTAAAGCAACTCTAGTTTCAAATAAAGCTTTCACATGTGATGCCGCTTTTAAATGCATGCGTTTATTCGTTGGTTACAAATCATCAAATCAAAGCTTTAAACAATTAGAAGTAGAAACCGAAAGAGGTGATGCCGGTTATCTTCAGATGGATTGCGCCCGTGAATCTTTCGCATTTGCAACATATAAACCAAAATCAGAAAGGAAAGTTAAAAAGTTTGTTCATTCGTTATATAATAATGTTCAAAAATATGATAACTCAGTATGTGGTAAATATATTGACCCTTCAGAAGTTTTCAAGAAAGCAAATGAAGAAGTTGATGTCACTTTTGATATGATTATTCCGGTAAATGATTTGTTAGCATTTCAGGCGTTCGATGATTATCCTAAATCATTTGGTGAAATCATTCTTAAATATTATGTTTTCAGGGATACTTTAGTATTTTGTCAGGTTGACCCGTTAAGAGTTGCTGATTTACAAAATTACGTTTATGAAAAGATAACTGATGAAAATTATGAAAAGATTATGAATCATGTTTATAAATATGATCGCAAATTCCAACAAATCGGACTTCCTGCCAAATTAATTACAAGCTTAGCCGCTACATCTGCTGACGCAACAGTTGAGACGTTATTATTTCATGCACAAAGATGGAAGTTTTAGAGGATAAATGCATTACACCAGGATACGGTTTAATTGAAGAATCAGTTAAAGCAATACCACGTTTATTCAGTAAGGAAGATCCATTCATGATTCCAGCTCAACATATTGACGTTCGTTCACTAAATGGAGGTTGCATCACTCCTGAAGGTATCAGCTCAGATTTCTCATACGCTCTTCATAATGTTACAGATGTTGTGTTAACATTTCCGAAGAATGCAATGCAAAGAACAGTTTTAGAAAATCCAATGCTTCGAGGTCTTCAGGTCACTATAGATTCCAGAAACTTCCCCGATCAAGCGATGACCACAGTGGGTGACATATTCTTTACACGTATGCTTCAAGCTTCTGATTTAGATGGAGTGAATGAATGCACGGAAGAATACGAGGACTCATTAACTAGACCACTGAATGATGATAATGGCACACCATTAGCTAGAACATGGAAAGACCAAACTTCATTCTTATGCACTATTCCAGTTCAACGTGATGGAGCGGGTATATTCTTTGATGGATTAGAAACTTTCAACTCACAAGTTACAGTACAAGTGAAAGCTTATCCAATCATTCAGGGTGAAAATGACACTTACTGTTCAAAGGTGACAAATCCTCCTCAGGTTTGGTTTACTAGGACTACATATTGGACATGGACACCGGATGAAGGTTTGAAATATCATCCAACAGGTACACCACCACAGTATAGAAGTTCATATGATGAAATATTGATGAATAGAAATGTTTAAAACTATAAATTTATTTTAGATTAAATGGATTTAAATTCATCTTATGAAGAATTAGCAGGAGTATATAATACATACGTAGATGATATGATTAATGAAGCATTGAGTGATAATAGAAATGCTCTATCTAAGGAAAAATTAATGAAAATTCCATATTCTGAATGTTACTTAAATTCAATCACTGCAGCAATTGGTAAACAAAATAAAGGTAAAACATTAACGATATTAAAACAAATTATCATTATTGCTAACACTTCCCCATTCACATGTGTTAATTTATATCAACCGTTCAGGTTCACCTTCAGATGATACATTTGAATCTTTAAAGCATTTAATCAAAATTCCAATTATTTATTTATCACAAGAAGAAGCAGAAGATTATTTAAAAAACTTTTTAATGTATAAAGAATTATATAATACAATCAAGAAGCAAGGATTAGAGGATAAAATTATTGATAAACAACGGGATGAATTATTTGAAACACTTTCTATTTCAAATTTTGATAGAGAATTTTTGCATTCACTCATTTTTCTAGATGATGGTGAAATCAAAACTAATAACAAATGAGAAATCATATTTTAATCAGTTATTAACTCAATGTCGACACATTCAGTGTTCATTCTTCATGGCTGTTCAATACTTCAAAGCATTAAGCACAAACATTAAATCAAATCTATCACCTTTTCATTTTCAGTGGTTTAGTCGTCAACAGTTGAACGTTATGCTTTATCAAGTGAATTTACCAATGAGCATTAATGAACTTTACACACAATATCAACAATTAGGTGAACATGGAAAAATAATAGTTGATTTAAATAAAGGTTCCATTAAATTCGAATAACTTTTTATAATTAATTTTTATTTTTTATTTATAATTAAACATGACAGAAATAGCAAATCTTCTACAGGTTCCATTAAAACAAGGGACAAACAAAAAGGGTGCATATAATAGAACTATGAAAGTTCCTGATGGAATGAAAGAATTAGTTCATATTGTTGCTGGTCTTCAAAAAGATGCAAAACAAATGAGAAACGTTTTAACATTACCAGAAGCTCAAGCATATGCCAAACGTCATGGTCCAAATTGGGAAGCACACGAAGCAGACATTACGGGTCCAAATGGAAAACCTGATGGTATAAATGAAGTTTTCGTTACTGATGGTCAAGGAAATATTAAAGTCATAAATGGTTATAAATTAACTATGTCTGATTATCCTAAACGCAAAGCATATAATGAACGTTATCCTATGCAATTTGATGAAAATGGAAAAGCTGTTAAACAATACATTGGAGAAGGTGAAAATGGTCCAATTAATTCATACCGTCATAATCCATATTCTTATTTCAATGCAGAATTAAATGCTATTGAAGAGGGACCGGATGGATTACCACGATATGTTAATCAGTTTGATGGTCAATATGCAAATTTGAGACCTGAAATTCCAGCTAAGAAATTCTTTAAAGTTGCTTTATTCGATCCAGTGTTCAATGAACAGAAAGAAGCAATGAAAGCAGAATTTAAACCAATTCAAGTGGCAAGAATTTCTTCATCTTCACTTGCAGAAGCGTTCAAGGAATTGATAAAGAAACCACTTTATTCTCAACAAGGTTATAACTTTGATTTAATTAAAGAAAGTGATAGACGTAAATTAGAAAAATCAGATGGTTTTAAGAATGCATGTAATGAAATGATTAAAGATATTGTAAATGATGAAATAAGACTGGAAGAAACTCAAAGCAATATCAATAACATTATTGGTGCAGTTACAAAGAAAGTATAAGCAAACAATGATGAACCTTGGGATATTACCGTAACAACTAAATAAAACTTTAAATATATATTTTTCTTTTTTATTCAATTATAAATGAGAAGACGTTTCACAAGTCAAAAGAACACTAACGCAAAAGCAGAGATTACGGTTGGTTATAACGTAAATGATGATAAATCACGAATTATTCAAAATGTTAAAGTTAATGTTAGCCCTGAATTAACAAGGTCAGCAACTCAACCAAATTTATTAACTCGTGACTTACCGAAGAATGAGGAGAATGAAGAAAACCATGAGAATGGAGACCCAATCATTTTATCTGAACCCGGTAAAGAACCCGTTGAAATTCCCACTTATCCAACATACCCCCACCTCTTTCATCAAACATCGAGAACCCAGGAATCTACGATTCCAGTCGCAATGCGCCATATAAAGTAGACATTAATTCTGAATTAATGAAAATTTACCGTGATATAATAACCGATAATTATGATTCAATAATAAATTTAATTGACCAATCCGGTTTAATTATTTTACCTTATGAATCATTAATTCACATTATCGCCATTCTTTGTGATGTTCAAGATTCAGACGTTAAGATTCAATTTTTCATAGATGATGAGGTTTCATGCTGTGGAACAGTTGCAAAAATAAATCCTATAAAGGATATTAGCACAATTAAGATATCAAAGAATGGAACAACAACTGAACTACATTTAACATATAATGATATTTATAATAAAATAGTTGATGAATATAAAATATCACTTGAAAAATTCTTTGTTAAGGCTATTTAATATTCAAGCATTAACATTATCGAATAATAATCCTTTGAATCATAATCAATAATAATTGACCTTTCACCAGTTTCTATCGTTTGTTTTATTTCTTTTTGTTTCCCACTATCTGGATCGGTCATTGTAATTGTTTTTGTTATAGTATCAGCTTTATCTTTAACTTCAATCTTTTTTCCATCAGGATATTTAAACCAAAATTCCAAAAATTCGATATTGTCAATCTGTTCATATTTTAATCTATCAATTACATTTTTAATACCATCTGAAAATCTTATGAAATGGTCATTATATGGGTTTGATTGAACTAAATTTGAATGAAGTGAAATATAACCTGATGATGAATATGACATCGACTCATATTTTCTGAAAACACTAAAATTTATAACATGAATGAATTTCTTATTCGTTGAATTTATGAATTCTTGAGGTAATCTTATTCTAGTTTTATTTATCACTGGAAAATAACGCTTTACCATATTTTTAATCGTAATAAAAAATGTCAATTATCAATATTATTTCGAATAATAACTGTGAATTAAATTTAACAGTTAGCGGAATTTATAATGTTACTCTCGTTTCTGTGAGTGGTAAATTTAATCCCATTCTTTTAGACCCTTCAGATTATATATCATTTATTAAAGATGACCATGAGCCGCATAGCGGCGGGGTCGTAGACCTAAAAACGTATGATATGTATATAAAAAATGTGATAGTGAAATGGGATATTAACACGATTTTAAGTTATTTAAATGAATCATTTATCGTATGGTATGAAGAAAATTTTAAATCAAAACCTGATAAACTTTTTGAACTTGATGAAATAAATAATCTTATTAAATTTCCGCTGAAAATTAAATTTTGTACTCCTCGTCTTCGTTCATTGTTGGGGATATTAAATTTTGAAAAAGATGTTGGGGATGTTTTGTATTCCGACACTGGTCCCAATTTCATTTTAATCAAATGTGATAAAGTTAATACCCCAATGAGATTTTCACACCAAACATTAGACCCTAACTCTTATCCATCAATTCAAAACATTTTATCCATCAACTTAAACACATTTTCTTTATCATATCCGTTTCAATTATCTGGGAATTCATTTATTCTTCATTCAAAAGATTTATCAAATATTAAATTTAGAATAACTGACCTATTTGATTGTGATTTAGAATTTATGAATGAAATATTATGGCAATTTCAAATAGAAAAAATAGCTGATGAGATAACGGATTAAATATTTATTTTTAAATCGTAATAAATGATTAAACAACAGCAACCACAACAACTTAAGGCACAAAGCGCCCAGGTCCCTCAGACCATTACATACGCCGTATATGCATATAATTCAAAGACGGCAGAACAAACACAAAGGTTGAAATATGGAGATTTGGAGATAGTATTGAAAAATGAACATTTCGAATTCGTTTGCAAGGGTGGTGCAGTGATATCAAATATAAAAGAAATTTTATTTATGAATTCAAAAATTAAAGGAATAACGGATGATATAACATCAATTCCACCAGAAGAACAAAGATATTACGCATTAAATGCATTTCCTAAAGTTTTGAAGATTGGAAGATTTAATTTAAATGAGGAATTCATAGAAGGTTTCCTAAATGACATAATGAAGAAAGCAGATAAGGAATACGTTCATACTGAGTTCGCATATGTGGCAAGTGTGTTAGTGAAGAAGGCATATAAGGAATATGTGGATGAAAAAGATAATGAAATTATAAAAAGGGTTGAATGGTACCATGAACGGACATCGAAGATTTTAGAAGGTAAAGCCAATACAGGGTGGGTTTCAGGATGTTTAGACCTTAAAGCGGATAAAACTTATGTTAACGATGAGTTAAATAAGAAGGCAGATAAAACATATGTTAACGATGAGTTAAATAAGAAGTCAGATAAAACATATGTTAACGATGAGTTAAATAAGAAGGCAGATAAGGAATATGTTAACGATGAGTTAGGGAAGAAGGCAGATAAAACATACGTTAACGATGAGTTAAATAAGAAGTCAGATAAAACATATGTTAACGATGAGTTAAATAAGAAAGCAGATCAGGAATATGTTAACGATGAGTTAAATAAGAAGGCAGATAAGGAATATGTTAACGAAATATACCAAAGTTTGATAGGAACAAAAAATATTGAAACTATTGTTGGTGACTTTTCTGTCAATGAAGAAAATAAATATTTTAGATGGGAGTTTGTACAGTCCTTAAGAAATGGTATACGGTATAAACTCATTCCGAAAAATAATAATGAAATGTATGTAAGCTATAAAAAGAATGATGGCACACAAGTTAAAGTTCCATTAGACAACAACTGCTACTTAAACTTATATGGAGACGAACAAAAGAAATATTTAAGAGTTTATGAAATGGCAGATATGACATTGCCTGACCCAGCTCCAGCACCATATTATTATGACTATGGTGTTGACGCACGTGTAGACCCAAAAAAGCAAACATTATATTTAGAATATTATAGATATAAAAGATATAATGCAATAGAAAAAACGAGAATAGTATACTATTTTGAAGATGACAGAAATAAATATTATAGTCAAGATTTTACCTACCCTGAAAACATAAGATTATATTATAAAAAATATTCTGACACAAACCAGAAGAAACCTGAAATAGTTACACTATATTTTAAGTTCAAAAGAGACAATCCTATAATATCTCATATGTTTGATTTAATGAACCCAGTAGGTTCTATTTATACATCTATGGATGCGAGAGGTCCTCAAGTAATGTTTGGTGTTGGTGCATGGAAACAAATAGTTGACAGGTTTTTGTATTGTGCAAACTCTTCAAAGGAAACAGGTGGAAGTAAAACGATTTCAGGTGAAAACTTACCTGCACACAGTCACTACATAGATTTAAGTACATCTCAAGCAGGTTGGCATAAGCATAGATATTGGGATTGGTCAGGAATGACAAAAGGTAAAGGATATGATGTTAAAGATGATGTTAAGTTTGCTATAAATTGTTACTGGAGTGACACTCAGGGAGAAGGAAACCATACACATTTCGTTTCAGGATATACACAAACAACGGGACAAAGTAAAGAATACATGCCACCTTACATGACTGTATTCGCATGGTATAGAGTTCAATGAACGCTCAATGTTTGTGAAACAAACTTTAGGAGCTCCAAAAGAGCAAACGACATAATTTAAATTTTTATTTTAGTATAAATGAAGATTCTACCATATGGTGTTATTGGAAGAGATAAAGATGGAAACCCAATATTTGATCCAAAGTTAAAATTAAAGTTACTGACAAGACAACAACTTGAAAAGTTGCTGAAACCAAAACAGGATGAGAAAATGAGAAAGAAAAAAATTTAAATTATGTAATTTTATTTTTATCATAAATGACAAAATTAATTAAGCCAACTATTTCTAAATTAATGATACCAATGAAATCATTTCATGGAGTACTTATCCCAGGTTCTTCACAATTAGCCGGGGCAAGTGTTGTGACTCAAGGTGGAACATTAGCGAATCCATTCAAATTATTAACTAAAGATGAACTTAATAAAATGATGATAAAATAACTGATAACAAAATTTTATTTCACTACTACCATAAAAACAGGTGAAAAAACAGGTGAAATCTCACCTAGCCGCTTTGCGGCTCTGACCCTTTGGGTCTCTTCACCTAAACATGGGCTTCGCCCTTGCCGCTAGCGGCTTATTTTTGTTCAAAGCTTCCACGAGAGAAAAGATTCCTCATTCGCTAAGGATTCCAAAAATGAAAAAATCATTGATTTCGGCTGAGAAAAAACAGCAAAAACCCTTCTTCCACGGGAACAAAGAAATAAAGAAGAAATAAAGAAGAAATAAAGTAAATTTTTTATTTATTCCCGTGGAAGATAGAGCACTTTTATGATACTTTTTATTCACGACAAACAAGACAAACAAAGAAAATGAGAAAATACGGCGCCGTCGCGGTTCGAACCACAGACCCTGACCCCTCCATAACACCGCCTTAGACCACTGTGCTACGTAGCCTGTCGACATAAGATTTTATAAATTGCATATTTGACGTAAATTTATTTCCCAGTTATTCAAAAATAATTAATAACTACCTTCCTCATTAATCCTGCTGTGTTGTTGTCAAAATGTCATGTTGTCAACATGGTAGCATGGTAGCACCTTTAGTTCTTCAAAAATAATTAATTATCGAATAACCTAAAAACATGAGACTTTGTCTCCGGACTCTTTGAGTCACTTAACGATAAAATAAGTGATAACAAATTTTTATTTTTATCATAAATGAATACCCCACAAGCTCAAAATTTACCACGAATCATAACAAGGGAGGAAATGATAAAAATGATGCAAGAACATGTTAAAAATAACAAACCACTAAAACTGAGAAAATGTGGTTATGCAGTAATGATGGAAAGAGAGATGTTGTCGAAGAGGAATAAAAATTAAATTTGGATTGAGTTTAAAAATTCATCTTTATTAAATTCATCTCTTCCAATCAATTTATTTATTCTATTAAATTCTTTTATTTTTGCTTCACTCAGTTTAAGGATTGAACGGTAAGTTTCTAATTTTTCGATTATTTCTTTATCGTTTTCAGCCCCACCGCATTGCGGCTTCTTTTTGTAATAGCATATTTTTGATTTAATTCTGTTTAGTTTCTTTTTATATTCATCGTCTGGACTCTTGGCTGCTTTGTTGTCACTCATTTCTTACGAAATAAAAAAAATTAAATATTATTTAAATATAATGGAGTAATAAAATAAATCGGAATTTCTATTAATTTATCGCCAACTTCAACTAATGCATTACCGTTAATATATCTAACAAATTCAGCTATTGTGTCAAATCTTCGTCTTCTTTTTGTCATTAATTTATCAGTTTTTCCATAATCGAGATGAATCAAAACTTTATCCCCTTGTTTAAAATTCATGAGCCCCGAATTAATTTGTTCACGTTTAACATCATTCAACCTTTCCATTTGCTTTCTAATATATTCCCATTCTTTTGAAATATCATTTTTCATTTCCACCGGTTTCATGTTTATAGTTCTATGCCATGTATTATTGTAATAATATACTAGCTGTTGTATGATGGAGTCATGATTTCCATCCCAGTATATCTGACCGTTAACCCCTAACACATCTCTAAGAGTTCTCATTACCGCATCAACTATTTTATTATGAAACGTATATGAAGAAGATGAGAAGTAAAAATTAATTTGTGGGAAATAATGAGCCATAGCTGCCTGAAATCCTTTATCACCATCACTCCTTATATTATCTACTCTTTCATGATCTAGTAAGTATTGAATAGCTCTTCTTGTTTCCTGTTCTGTTTTCCCTTTCACTGGAATGCAATATAAATATCTAGTGTTAATGTTAATGATGAATAAATAAGTAATGTTTCCTTTTGAATATTCCAGATGATCGATTTCGTATGAATATGGATATGGTGCAAATGAAGGGCGACTGAATTTTTTCTTTAACGGTTGAATTTTCGGGTCAATTGGTTTATTTAATATCTTGAAATCCTTTTTAAAATCTTTTTGCTTCTTTAATGTTTGAAATGGATATAATAAAGTGAATGATGAAGGATTAACTGAAGGAGGAGGTACTGTCGTTGGAGGTACTGTCGTTGGAGGTACTGTCGATGGAGGTTTTGGTGTTGTAAGTGGTTTAATTTTATCTGCTTTGATTTTGGATGATGAAGTTTTGGATTTGACACCCACTTTCATTAATTCTGGATGTATTCTGTTCATTTGTTTTAAATATGCTGTATATAAAGGTTTGATATACTTTCCCGCTTCGAGTTTATGTTGAAGGATGATTTCCAAAAGTTGATCTTCATTTAAAAGTCGGGCTGAATATGGTTTAACTAATGAATCATAAATTAAAGCTTGTGCATCATTTATGGTCTGAAGGACCTGGGCGTTTTGTACCTTTTGTTTTTGTTCCTTTGGCTTTTGTGGCTCGGGATTATATAAATTATATAATTCATCAATATCTTTTTTTGTTAATACTTTATTTTTGAAATCTTTCAACTGTTTAAGTTGTGATTTAGTTTTTCCCTTTGTATATTCATTATTTTTAATTTTGTCTTTAATTTTAGAAATTATTTTATCATGATATTTCAAAATTTCATTTTTATAATACGAATAATAATAATCCATATCATCACCCGTTATATTTTTATTATGTTTTTGGAGATATGCTTTTAAATCATAATAATCAAGAAAATTTTGATTAAATACTAAATCATCAATTAAAATTTTTAAATCTGTGTTATCCATTTATATAAAAATAAAATAAATGTTTTAAGGGTGCCCACCTCTTTGAATCATAGTATCAAAACCATCATTTACATATTGAATCACATCATTAACGGTTCCTTTTGTCTCTTCTGTGGCATTTTATTAAAAATAAAATAAATGTATTAAATAAATGGCATACAACATCCATTTTCACAACATACAGCCTTAGTGTGTGCTCCTGTTAATGCAGTCTTACCGATTGTTAAGCGAGTCATTGACCCGTTTTTAAGTTGTAAATTAATATTCTGACCATCGAAAATAACTTTATCATTTATTATATCCAAATAATTTTTAGGTGTTAATTGTTTATTTTGCCTTAAACTAACACCTTTCATTTTTTGTGCAATCTTTTTGAAGGAGTCTTCACCTATCACTCCGTTGAATGAAGTATAACATTTAGGACATAAAGCAACCATGTTATCACCTTGTTTCTCAATTGCTAAACCCAATAATTTTTTCTCATGTGCTTTTTCTTCAACTTTATTATTTAATTTAGGTTTAAATTTCTCATCAAAACAGAAGAAATCAAATGGTGCGAATTTGAAAATGTTTTTATCATAAAATTTTTTATCGGTAACAATCACCTGAAATGCTTGAGTGTTAGGAAGATTTGGATCGCCAGCGATTGCCCAATAAGATGAATCAGTATCACCTTCAATGAAATGAAAACGATTAACATCCAAGCATTTATACATAAAATCATAAATGAAAACCAAATACCAGTATTTTGCGTTATCTAAAGTAAAAAATGCCTCTTGTAAACATGTATCACATCTATAAAATCTATCTTTGAGCATCACTTGATACGTATCCTCTCCTATTTCTCTTATGTTTTTAAACTTATTTGACATACATGCAACGCGTGCCTTCTGTGTATTCATTATTTTAGTCTTTGCATAATTTTGTGTATTCATTGCATCGTAACCATATGATCCATTAAGCGAAATCTTGCAAAATAAACTTTTTCCTTTATTTCCTTCTAATTCAGCCTTTTGTCTTTCGTTCATAAATTCGTTCGCAAATTCATTAAAACAAGTGTTTTTAGTAAATGTTAAAATTGATTGAATGTCATCAATGATAAAATTAAATCTATCTATTAGATACCATAGATAATAAGAAGAAAATGGTTGATATTGGTTGTGTGTTGATGCTAACTGAGTTAATTTTCTCTGTTTCTGGTCAACTGGTAGATTGTTTGATTTCATGTAATTATACATAAAACTACCAATTGTTTTTTCATCTGTGATAATATCTAAGTTTCTTATTATCGGTAAAAAGTTTATGTAATCATTAATGTATTTTTCATCAATGTGACCCTTTACTTCAGCCACGAATAAAGTATTTTTCTTTCTAATAATTCCCAGTGCTTTTGCTTTCTTTGTTGCTGTATCACAAATGATAACTCCATTCAATCTTCCCGGCATATACATTTTATGGTCAGTATATTGAATGAAATCATGAGGATTAGATGAAAATGATGAAGGATATAATGAATTAAAGTCAACACCAACGAAATGAGTCATGATGTTGGTGGTGTCCTCATTTGATACAGTTTTAGTTTCTGGATTATATGAAAGTTTATTAATGTGCGTGATTCCTTTAAGATTTACTCTATGTTGAACATTTGATAACCACCAGTAATTCCATTACGGAGGATGTGATAAGCTTCAACTGAATCTAAAGTCATTGGTAAATTATTTTTTAATGCGTAATTTCTTAAATTGATTCTTAAACGTTGAACATCTTCATCTTTGTTTGATTTCACAACATTGCAATAACAACACATTAACTGACAATTTTCTTTAGTATGTGGTTTTTCATTATCTATTCTATCTAATGTTGGTTTATTAGCATATGTAAACGCTTTACCACACATTTTGCATTTAGATGAAAGGATTAAATCGTGATAGTATTGAAAATCATCCATTGAAACATTATTTTTAGTATCCCTTTCTGCTTTTTCATCTTGTTTCTTATATGCTTCAATTTTATATTTCCAATACTTTTTCGTTAATTCAAAACTTGATTCTATCTCTTCCTCAGGATATTTTTCATTAGGATTAAAGTCTTTATATGCTAAAGCGTAACGAATCATTGAAGCATTCGATGATAAAGAAAGATTATGAAGCATATCAATTTTATAAACAAATGTTTCTTCAATAATTTTATCGATTGGGTCAATCATAATTTCAACATCTTTATTGCAATAATGAATAAAATATTCTAATCTATTCTTAAAATTTTTAGCATCATTGAGATATATTTGATAATCACTATCTGATATAGTTTCTTGGTTAATGCTGAATAAAATGAATCTTTCGTGAATGGTTCCACTTTATATAATTCTTCTTCGTAATTCTCCCATGTGATAAATTGATAAGGGAAAAAGGATTTAACACGTGTTTTATTGTTTCCGAAATCTTGAGTGAATTGGTCCAATGTTCCACCCGCTATATAATTTCTGATGTCAATAAATCTCAATTCATATGGAATGTTTGTTTTCTTTACAATGACTTGCTTAAATTGTGAAGAAGAACCCAGCATTGATTTTATTTTCCATTTTGCAGTGTTTAAATCACGAAGAATTAAATTTAAATCAAACTTTCCCGAATTAAAACCTATGATATTCACTTTATTGAATTCCTCATCTAGAAGTTCTTTAAATGCTTCCTTCTGTTTCTCATTTAATGTCGTTTGCGGCTTCAATAATTCATCGTATTGTTCAATATTTGATTTAGCAACTAATGAACAGGTTGAAAATAAAAATTCAATCCAGTCAGAAATAAAAGAATCACTTGAAGTTAAGCAAAAATTCCTCGTATATGTTTTATCGTTTAATTTAACCGTTGATGATACCATGAATGGTTTTAAGTAAGCATTCAAAGTTGCACACTCAGAAAGTTGTAATTCTTCTTTAGTCTCTAATGTTTCAAAGTCAAAAGTAATATAATATCTTGTTGGTTTATAATATTTCTGCAAATTATGAGCTAATAACCACTGATATATCTTCTGTTTCGTAATATGTGGTGCATATGGTTGCTGTGTCTTTTGCAACTGAACGTCTTGAATTAATCTACCATTATTTTCTTTACATTTCTCACAATGTTTTAAAAATCTTCTTTGGTTTTTCCTTTCTGGGTCATCACGGATAGAATAAACTTCTTCTTTACAATATGGACAAACTTTATAGCCGGTGAATGCTTCAACGTCTGTTATTCTGTCAGCGTGAAGTTTTCCATTTGGACTCTGTGTTAATAAAATATTTACTGTTTCAAATTCTGGATCTATCATTATTGATTCCACTAATGGAAAGTCTACCTTGTTAATGTCTACGTCTTCCGGTTGAGGATCACAATAATAGAAATCAATATTAACGTTTAACATTCTCGCCAATCTCTCACTTTCTGATGTAATGTCAAACCCTTCATAGGCATCTATTGCTTCATTTAAATAGCTTCTACGAGTTTTAGGATTAACACCATCAGGAATGTTATAGAAGCGTTTAAATAACCTTCTACCTTCTGCTCTAATTTGATTATCATTCATTTTAGCTGTTCCGTTTTTGTTCATTTATGTAAGAACAAAAAATTAAAAAATAAATAAAAATAAAGTTTATTTTTAAAGTCCGAGACTCAGAGAGTCCAGGGCTAAAGCCCATAAAATGAATTAAGAACACATAAATTTTTATCATCTGTAACGTGACGGATACATTTTAATTTACTCAAGAATGTGTACCCTGATACATTAAATCTAATTCCTGTCTTATTTAATTTCACAACTTTGAAAAGGAATGTATGAATAGCTATAAAATGATGAGAAGATGTTTTATGGGTTGCTTCCATTTTTTCTGAAATAAATGAATAAATATAATGCTTATATGTTTTCATATCTTTTATGTTCTTAATAACGAATGGTATAGACTTTTCAACTTCGTCTTCCTTCGGTGCTGTTCTTTCATATGAAACATTATTGGTATCTTCAACAATGAAACCACAATCACATAAAATTTTATATGTACCAATTGTTTCTTTTGATATTTTATCTAATAAATCAAAAACTTTATCAACACCTGTGCATTTATTTAAATAATAATTTGTGTAAATATCGTGATCTTCTTTCTTAATCGTATTAGTTGCATATGTCACGTTTTTAAGAGCTTTTTTGAATTTCTCAGAATCAAGCGGGGGTGAAAGTAAGATACAAGGGTATTCTTCATTATCAATAAATTGTAACTTATGTTTACGAATAAATTTAGTACCTTCTTCTGAAAGTGTTTCGTCTATTTCACCATCTAATAAATTTTGTGTTGATTCTGAGACATAATTTTTATATCTTTCTTCATGAGATTTCTGAACTTCTGATTCTGAAGCTGGGATATTCATTAAATCCTCTACTTCATTTTCATTATATTTTTCAACTTCTCTTAATTCCTTAATTCTTTCATCTATTTCATCTCTTATTTTTTCCAGTCTTTCAATTTCATCATATTCATCATCTTTAATTCGTTCTTCATAATATTCAGGGAAAACATCAGGTTCTTTAGGTTTTTCTTTTTCAGATGTAGGATATAAGAAATTTAAAACATCATCTTTATTCATTTTTCCATCATAACCAAACTCATTTAAAAACTCGGCAAATTTTTGACAATTTCTTAAATAATATTTATTAACTTCATAACTCGCCTCCTCTAATATATCCTTTATTTCCTCGTTTGTGAATCCCAATTTTTAACGTCGTTAGTTTTGACGCTCATTTCATACAAAATAAAAAATAAATTATTCAAAAATGTAAGACATGAATTTTTAAAGTTTATTTTTTTTATTTTTTTTATTTTTTTATTTCATTATGTATGGGTTTAGTGAAAATTTCTTACGATTCTGAAAATTTTTAAATCTTGATTTATTCAAAAACGTAAGAATAAAAACCGTAAAAATCATACATTTTTTACTTCATATGTAAAAAAAAATGATACAAAATCGCTCAAAAATGTATGAATTCTTACGTTTACAAAAAAAGTCACAAAACCCTTCAACATATACTACTATGGTAGTTTGATTTTCAGATCTACATTTTAAAAACCTCTTTATTATCTTGAGTTATACTTTTATTATATAATACCTGAGTTCATAACTGAAAACTCTTAATTAGAGTACAATATTCAACTTAATCATAACAAGATTTGTTGAATTTCAAATTTGATTTATATCTTCCATCACTTAAAACTCTCACAGCTTACAATATAAGCTAAAAAGTATATTTTCATAGTAATAAAATTAATTATTAAATTTTTTACTTTTTCCTTTCCAAAACTAGAAAAAAAGGAAGGGAAAAGGGAAAAAGAAGAAAGAAAAGAGAAAGAGAAAAAAAAGAAGAGAAAAGAAGAAAAAATAATAATGAGCATATTATATAATTGTGGTCATAGGCCGAGTGGCGTGGAAAGGATGTCGCCCTTCGGGCTCCACCCTTTCCACGCCACGAGGCCCGATTTTTGGCCACTTTTTTGATTTTGGCCGCGTGCCAGCTCCTGGCAGGCGGCCCGCAAAATTGTGCCAGTTTGTACAACCCTATATCGATACAAAAGATGAAAATAAGACTACTGCTCTTCATAAAGCATCATTTTTGATAATAAAGAAACGACTGAAGTTCTTATTTTACATGTTGCAAATATCAATGAAAAAAATGACAGTGGAAAAACTTCTCTTCATTATGCCATCTTGAAGAAAAGAAAAGAAACCGCTGAACTTCTTGTATTACATGGCGTAAATATCTATGAAAAAGATAAATATGGAAGATAAGCTATTCATTATGCAACAAATAAAAATAACGAAGAAATGGTCGAACTTCTTCTTTCACATGATGCAAATATCCATGACAAAGATGAAGGTGAACAAACCACTCTTCATCATATAGAATTTCTTCTTTCACGTGATGCGATAATTAATGAAAAAAAATAGGGAAAAACTGCTCTCCACGAGGCAGTGGATAATAATAGTAAGGCAACAGCAGAATTTCTTACATCACATGGTGCAAATATCAACAAAAAAGATAATTATATAAGAACAGCTATTCATTGTGCATGTTATCAATGATAAATATCAAAACGGAAGAAATTCTCTTAATATTTCAGCGACAAAAAATATTAAAGAAAATCGGAAATTCTTCCTTTACATGGTATTATTTCTTGAGTTTGCTTAGATTTACTGTCAGCAACTTGCCATCTTTCTTAATATTGAGGTAATTAGACTCATTCAATGAATTTAAGATGTACTACAATTATCTAAAATCTATTCTTGGACACAAACTTATTTTATATAGTAAAGTATTCATATTAATTGTATGGAATGAAGAAAAAAACTTTTGAATTGCATAATTATTAATTTATTACTTAAATATATATATAAACAAACAACTTTCATACTAGTATTCATTATCTATTATCACGATGCTCAATTTCGGAATGCTTAATGTGCATAATTTTGATACCAGCTAATAAGTCTTCAAGTTGTGGACTACAGAGATTATTTGTTAATTGGTATTGAATGTCTTCTAAGTCTTTGAATTTCAATTCCATCAGCTTTCTCTTTGCTTCAGAATTACTAATTTGTTTAACGTAATCATGACTTTTAGCGAAATCTTTTGCACTTATTGCTGGTTCTGTATGCTCCTGTTTAGGCACATGTGGCTCAAAAACTTGTAACTGCTTTTCAGTTTGTTCTTTTCCGCCCCATTTTACACGTATTGTCTGTCCTTTATAAACTGTACCATTCAATTCATCAATTGCTTTTTGTGCATCATCGTGATTTGCAAATTGGACTATTCCGCACCCTTTTGATTTAAATGATCCTTTCCTGGTAAAAATTTTAGCAGCAATCACCTTGCCAAATCTCATAAACTTAACTCTTAAATCTATGTCTTGGTCTTCTAATGGATAATTGCCTACAAAAAGGCAGGTTTCGGATTCTTCACCCATTTTTTAAATAAAGGGGGTAATGGTGGCACCCCCAATCTTTTAATATCTCTCCTAGAGAAATTTGATCTCAGTGATGGCCTTAAACCACCTTTAGATAATAAGTTTTAGAGTTGGCCAAGTTCAGATATTGCTATAAATTTGATTTCAATATTTTGTAGCTTTTGGAGAAGAAAGGTAGAATTTCAACAATATGTATTCCCCGTTAATGATAAATTGATTATAAAAATTTCGGATAATTCATAGCTGAGAATGAAAGGTCGTAATTTTACATTTGAAATAATTTTAATGCAGATCATAACGTGCCTAACATTGGAAATCAATATATTATGAATCTGCTATAAGTGTTGCAATGATGCTAAATAAAAAGAAGAATTATTTATTCAATTTACAGAAAAATTGAATTGAATGTCAAAACAATCAAAATTATATAACGAATGAAAATGCAATAAATAGTTATTATACGAAACTATTGTCTGTTGATCTGAAATTATTTGAAGGAGGTAGGGCAACGATAGGTCAAAAAAGCTTCTCTGATAGATTTCCTTGCCTTTTGGATATGCTATAATATATAGCCTAGCATGATAGGATATGATGTCAAAAGTTAGAACATAACTTAGGATCTTGAGAAAAATGAAAAACAAAAATTACATAAAAAAAGAAAGATTTTATCTAATTTGTTTTTTTGGACCGAATAAGTAATTTTATTGAATTTCAATACGACACATAGATTTTATTATTAGTAATAAATATAATGGTTTACTATTAACAAGGAACCTAAACTAATGAAAATTTGATTTCAAATATTGTATATGATTATCATAGATTACCAGAATATATTGCTATTTATGAGGATATAATATTGATTATTAGTAAAATCGTATAAATTTAATAAATATACCATGAAATATTGAATGAATTTCTTGATTCATAGGGGTAAACGCGCTTTTATATGATTTAGACAGAGAATTTATGAGATGTAAATAACACAATAAAGGTTTATATTGAATATTTTTCTAAAAATAATCGAAATTATAAAAACAATACATTTATTCATTGAAACTACTTGGACAAATATGAAACGAGCATTCAGGCAATACTTTTGAGACTTCAACGCAATCTGATAATTTTTATATAACTTCACCTCTTATGCTTAGAGTGGAGGTATTGAGATCGTATAAGTATAGATGAGCTCACATTCAGATATGATGTGTGAACTTCTGTTTTCACTGCAATTTTGAATCAGAATAAACTCAAAACAAGAATAAAATGAATACTCACTCTCTAAATGTGTTCGAGATTTAAAGTTGTATGAATAAACGATTCATCTTTCGAAGCTCCCATTTAATGAGAGATTCGAAAGATGAATGTATTCATGTAGATGAAATACTATATATGACCATGTGTGATACTAAAGATATCAAATGTTCATTTTTAAGTGCAATAGAAGGGTTATCTCTCGTAAAATCTCAATTTAAGGAAGATTTAGAAAGAACTCCTTTCCTAAGTAGATAGTGTGTGGTTTCTGTCTTTTGGTTGATCAGGAACTATGAAATTAAGTCGGACAGAAAGAAGTTCTTTCCAAAACAGACTCCAAATGAGTTGTTCGAAAAGAACTTCCTCTGTATATGGATAATTGTAGTTACCGCACTGAAGTATGTGATTGTGATGATGGAGTTCTCGATAAATCTAAAATCGGATTAAGATTAATTGAAAACTCAAGTAATTCTTTGAAATCTTGTGTTGTTGGCACTATAATAACCAAGAATGAGAATATTATGTTGAATGATGAGTACGTGTGCTCGGCATTCGCCGAGCGAATTGAGTTTAACGTACTATGAAAAGTGACAAATTTGGGCTTTTTTTCCTAGGGTTATGATCTCTTCCTTTCTGCTCAATACGACAGAAATGAAAGAATGAATTTGTACTCCCTAATTGATTACTACAATCTGTATCTATCTTTAACATAGAATTAGCTGCATTGTGATTTATACTCCAGAATTATTCAATTTAAGATCAACCTCGTAAATTTTAATCATATTGCACCAATATTCCTACGTTGAGATAAGAACATGATTATACATACCAAAGCCCCATATTAAAAATCAAAATTTAGCACCTCCATTATGCAACCACATTATTCGTCGCAAATAAGTATATTTACGCATATTATGATGCATATTCACACAACTCGTATACATGAAAAGTTATTAAAATCAGACAAAATTATTGCAATAAGGAAAAAAAAAACAACTTTATTATATATGTTAGTAATGAATTACAAATATTTCTACAAAGAATGCTCAATACTTCATATAATCTTCGAATATTTCTTATTACAAGTTAATACATTTTGACATTTAGTTCCATATATGGCAGTCCCAACGGGAACCGCGGTAATTTACCGAGGTTTCCGCACACCGGTTCCTTTTTTTAGGAATTTTTTAGATTAAAAAATATGCTTTGTAAATCATTTTTTGTAAATCGGCAAAAATTTGGAAATATTCTGACGACAATAAATCTGGGAATAGTATTTGAAATACGAGAACAACCTATTTAAAAGTGTTTCGCTCGATTTTGTATAATTTCAAATTTTCGCATATAGCTTTCCGTGAATTACCGTGATTTTACCGCCACATCAATAGTTTACGACACTTTCCCCGTAAATTGAGTAGTTTACTGCACTTTTTCCGTAAAATTGAGTTACGGGAATCCGTAAGAATACCGTACCTCACTTCTAGTTGAAAATAGCATTAGTATATAATAAATAGATATATTATTCATATTTTTGATTTTGAATTACGGAAAAAGTGAGTTCAGAACTTCCAATTATTATTTGATTAATTATGTTAAAAATACTATAAGGAATTAAAATACATAATGTTGAAATTTGAATTACGGAAAAAGTGAGGGTGAAAGTGAAGTGAAAAAGTAAGATATTTTTTGTTGAAATAATCATAGTTGTACAATTTTGAAACTATATGTAAAGCTATAAATTGAATAAATTCAAAAACAAAAATTGTTTATTCTTATTAATAAATTTATATTAATCAATATTTGAACAACCCGTAATTAAAATTGAATTCCTCTTAAAATTTAATCCATACGTTAATTTTTAATTTGCTCGGCGAATGCCGAGCTTCCCTACTTCTCTTGTCATTCCTTCAAAAACTCTAATCTCATCGCACTTACAAACATCATGATTTGATGTATTGTCGAGAAATCTTAGACTTGTTTGTCATTTGATGATAGCATTTGAAAGTCATCTCGAAAATCGATTAACAAGACAATTTCCCAAACATCTACATACAAGTAGATGATGGTAAACCCATTAGAGTTGTTTTGCTATGATTCCTCCAATCTTATGAAGTTAGTATCCCTATCTTCAGTACTGTGGCACTGCGTTCCACCGTACCCAAGATAACGGTTTGACACTTTACAAAACCACTAACGTATATTTTACAACAGAACCATAACACCAACTTAACCTTAAATATTCACTAACGACTTCACTAACGAATTCACTACCATCCTCACTAAATAAAAAATAACCTTATTTTATTTATTTTCCAACTTTTTTATTTCATTGTAAAGGCATGTCTGACTACATTTACTATGACTCTTTCCCAGAACGTTTCCGTGAACTATTCAAAACTCAAGTAAAACTGAGGAACATGCATTTTAACAAAGACAGACCCATTGACGATGAAAGAAACCCTGAATATATTACAATCCTATATGACGCAAAGTTCATTGCATACATTCCTTATGGTCGCAGAGGAACGAAAACTATTTCAACAAAGAACAAAAATTATTTCTGGAGCGATGAAGAAAATTGCCTTATCTACATAAATGCATACTTAAATAAAGCTACATATTGTACAAAAGAAGGTTGGACTGGATTTGAGCTCTACATATACGACGACGATGGAAACAGACGTTGTGTATACCCATACGATAATATGTACCATTGTTTTCATCAAGCATTAAACGAATACATAGTCAGTAAGGGTCTCATTCCTGTTGAGTAGATATGCTTTATTTTTGTTCTGTCATTTATATAAAAATAAACGTTCTCACTAACGACTTCACTAACGTTCTCACTAACGTACACACTAACGTTCACACTAACGTTCTCACTTACAAAAGTATTGCAACTCCTCCCATTGCTGTGCTTCACATAACAGCTCATAATCTTCTGACTCACTTTCTTCTTCATATAGGTCAAAATCACTGTCAAAATAAATGTTAGTAAGTTTTGACAAAGCTAATGAAACACGCTTACCGTTTGTATCATATGCTTGTATAAACTTTCCATTATGTTTACTATCATAAACGCTCAAACTAACTTTACCCTTTCTCCCTCGTATCTGATAGAATGTATTTTCACGAGCAACGAAGAACAAATTCTTGAACTCATGACCGTTGTAGTTTGTTATCTCAATAGTTTTCGTCATTTATATAAAATAAAATAAAAAATAAACTTAAAAAATTAATGATATCACCACCCTCACGCGTATGAAAACATAGCACAAAAATAAATTTAGGTGAAGTGGTGAGATCTCACCTCTTTTTTCACCTCTTTTTTCACCCTGTTGAATTCATTGCTTTATAACTCTCTTCCTTGATTTCTTTTTAGTTGCTTTCTTAACATCTGTCTCCAACTTGACTGTCTTTCTTCTTCGTCCGTAATGATACCAATTACTTCCACCAGTCAATGGGTCAAATGGTCTTTCGTAAGGGTTTCCATACATTCCATAGGGACCATACGGAAGAACTACTGGTGGAGAAGAAACATTTTCTTTAGTTCCATCGAATATATTTAAATGCATTGTTTCACCTTTCATCTGGTCATTAAAGTCTTTTGCGTGTTTTGCAAACTCATCGTCCTTTCCTAAAGCATTTTCTGACTCAGTCGCAACCAAATTGGATGCTTTATTTATGAGCCCTATTTTATTTAATCTTAACTTCTTTGCAACCCAGCCTCCAATCTTCCCTTTATTTGCATCTAATGTCTTCGAAACCCTTCCTCCACTCATTTTATTTACTGCGTCATAAGCTTCAAGTGCTTTTGCTCCAAATGCTAATGCTTTTGTTCCCATTGCGCCTAAAGCTGCCCAAGCTACCATTTACACCATATTAAAATCATCTCTCTTCAATATTATCTCATAAAAGTTCTCGTTACTGGAGAAAGTCAATGAAACATAAGCGTTCTCACGGGCTTCGCCCTCACTACTTTGCGGTCTATCTAACTTCTTTCTTATCTCATCTATACGCTTCAAAATGTCTGAACAATTGCTAACATCTTCTACAACAGTTATTTCATCATGAATGACCTTCAAGAACAAGCTCATTTAATATGCTATTAAAATCATCTCAATAATGAGTCCATCCTTTCCATCTTTAGGTAGCACAACATCTTTCATTGAAGAAGGTTCGACAAGTCTTATGTTAAACTTACTGACAAAGTTTGTTATACTATAATGCTTCGGCGGCGAATACATATAGTTTGAAAGACATAATATAGATTCTTCAGCAAATTCACTTATACTGGATTTTATAACAATGTTCTCACGAGACCAAACGCCACCAATTGACAATCTTGTAAGCAATCCTGCTGAACCTTCACTGTAAACGTCGATGGTAACATTCCACGAAGGTCATCTATTGACATCTTTGAGTCACTGAATTTAAATATTTTCTTAAAGCAATCGTCATTATCTAACCATGCAATAGCTTTGAAGTTTTCATTTGAATATACATCTGCTTCATTAAATGTAAATCCTGACTTCTTTGCAGAGATGACTTTAAAATCTATTGAGTTTGTTTCAAAATTATATGCTATGGTAACTTCTGAAGGTAATGGGTGTCCTTCCTATAGTTGTTCTTTCACTACCGTTTGAAGCTTTGTGTTAAAAACTTTCATGTCATCTCCTGTATCTAAGTTCACATACACAGCAACAGGGAAACTATCTTGCTTCTTTGTTTCATCATTATATCTCAAAACATTAAAGTTCTTCAATAATATTGTTCTTCCTGCTGGAATACTTCGAACCTGTCTGATTTCAATAGCTTTCTCACCTCCTACATACTCTACCCAGTGTCTTGGATATTCATAAGTATACTGACTTTCTTGAATTTTGGTAGGTTTCATCATAACGTGTTCATAGTATATCTTTATACTCTTGTCAGTTAGACTCGGTGCTATGTTCTGAATATTTCTGACTTGCATTTTTAATGGAGATAAAATGAAGCATTTAATACATGACGTAGATGAAGACATGAATGAAACTACAGACAAACTTAACTCTTCTCTCATTCTTCCTTTCAGCAAAGATTATGAGTTCTGTTCAAATGGTGTGTATTTCTATTGTGGAAAGATGGGTTCAGGTAAGACATTTAACCTCATTCGTCATATACTCATAACAGAGCGTTTAGGAAACGACTCTTACTATGACCAAATCATTATATCAGCAACTTCAGACTCTATGGACTCAACAGCGAAAACATTTATGAGTAAAGTTCAAGCATCTGTCGTTAAAGTTCCAGACAGTGAACTCATTGAATTTCTTCAACGTTACATTCGACGTAAGAGAAAATATTATGCTATTGTAGAGTTCATACAGTCAGGAATGCAAAAGACTTCAGAAGAGATGGAAAGAATTATTGACAAACACCACTTACGTCAGTACTCAGGAGTTTACGATATGAAACGACTGACAAACTACATTCTATCAAAACTTTCAAAATACCCCTTCAAAAAGTATCCTTCAAACACTCTGCTCGTTTGTGACGACTTCGCCGGAAAAGGTTTAGTGTCAAAGCCTGACTCACCATTAGCTAACATCATAACTAAAGTCAGACATTACCATTTAACTGTAGCAATACTTATGCAAACATGGCGTTTTCTTGCTTTAAACATAAAACGTCTCATAACTGACTTCGTTATCTTTCAAGGTTTCTCACGTTATGATATTGAACTCATTTGGAAACAGTCAGGTATAACATTACCTTTTGAAGAAATTTGGGAAGCATATAAGTCTCTCATCTCTCCTCGTTCATACCTTGAGATTCATATCATGACTAATACCATTAAAGTCAAAAATATTCCATGGGAACGACCAACATTGTTTTAAAGTTTAACCTTCAATTGACTGATGGTAAACAAATTCCATGCATCTCTGTCGCCATTTCTGTTAATATTTTTGCTGTCATTCATATCATCCACTTCCCCATCCGTTAGCTTTTGAGGATATGCGTTAGAATAGCTGTTCTTAAATGAAGGCTTTTCACCTTTGAGAGCATAAACTCTATAACTTTCTGCATACTTTATGTTTGAACCTCCTGAGCCATCATTGACATAAATTTTTATAGGCTTCCACCCTTTGTTCATATTCCTGCTTCTTCCCTTTGCTCTTTTGTTCAGTAGTTCTACATCTTTATACACAGCTCCTGTCTCAGTGAATTCAACAATATTTTCATTCGTTAGCTTTACATTCAAACCCTTGTCGAGTATATTGTTCATTTCATACATATAAAAGGTTTTTATTCTATATGAAATGAGAAGCAAATCCATCTTAGCTGGTGCCGTTAATGTTCCAATTGAACCAACATCAAATGTTGACTCACGAACGACAAACAATATTGTCATAAAGAACTATAGTTCAGAGTGTTTGAAAGAAAAAGAACCAGAGCTGAAATCCGTGAATTTAAACACAGCTTCAAACGCTAACGCTACATCAGATGTTAAGTTAGAGTATCCACCACTGGACCAAATTCTTTCAAGAGAAGCCAACGACAACCCTTACATAAATGTTCAAACAAATCCTTCAGATAACGTAGACCATTACCTTCTTCAGTTATACCAAACAATTTTACTCAAAGACGATAAGAAGCTTTTGATAAATCTTATAAGTAAGAACCAAATAATTCTAACAAAGGAGGACCTTGAAAATGTTATATCACGAATAACAGGAAAGCAATGTGTCATTGACTATCTCGACCCTGAAATCGAATGCTGTGGTCAAACGCCAATATTCATGAAAATAGGTAACATCCGCATCATTGAAACACCAGGAACTACAGGAGTTGAGTTTAAGTATAAATATTCGAACGAGTATACAAAACTATCTACTTACTATAAGCTTTGTTTGAAATATGTTTTAGTAAATTAAAGCAGTCAGGAGGGCTCTTTGAGCCCATCTTGGCGCTTTGCGCCGTCAGTCAAAAAATTTCAAGTTAGCAATTTGTAATATCTATCCAAAACTTCTTCAACAGTATCGAACTCATCTTCATAATGCAAACCTAATCTTATTGACTTGGTGCAGTTTTCACTAACACAATATTTTTCTGTTCTCTTGACTGACATAACTAACTCATTTGTTTCATCAAACAGCAACAACCAAAGTTCATGACCTAATACATAACATTCATACTTTATATTTTTAGCTCTGAGTTCTCTTGTAAGCTGTTGCATTTAATATTTTCTAAAAAGTCAACTTCAACAGTCATTCGCACTGGTGCCTTCAGTTCTACAGGCTCTCCTTGAAAGTCAACAAGTCTGAATTGCATGTCTTTCAAATTATGAGGACTAATGCGAACCCATTTACCTAAATGAGTTGCTATGACAGGAACGTTTGGAATGAACATTGAATTGACTGCATAACAGAAGGATTTATATTCTACTGAACCTTTACTATTAACTCCTGAAATACCTGTGACATTAGCTATTTTAGACTCAATGTACAAACAATTACCATAACATACGTATGGAACAGATTTCATCTCAATCGTTTTGTCAACACTTTTCAAAGGAAATGTCATATGGTATGCTCCCAAAAGAAGTTGTACTCTATGACTCATTCTTGGTATCTTAAACTCCTTCGCATAACTGAACTTCAAAACTCCTGCAATAAGTTTAACATTCATTAAGTTTTCTTCGTTATCCTTGTTTATTGTAGTATTTATGAGAGCATTTAACACTCCAGCTAATGTTTCCATCTTATATTCTACATTATTGTGAAATCTTATTTCGTGCTTCTTTCCATCTATTTCAAGCTCCATGAAATCTGTTTCATCTGTTATAACGAATGAAGCGATAGTATTGAAGTCAACCATTCTGAATGCAAGCGCCTCATTCTGTAGACCTAAGTTTGTTTGTAGCTTTACTGTCCCGTATTCGTTTGGGTCTGTACTTTGCAAATAGAACAACATTTTATTCTCATTAAAATATGAGTATAGCTGCATATGCGTATGAAGCTGACAGAGCTAAACGTTTATATTTTGGTCAATACTCTCTCACACTTACTGACAAATATATTGTTATCAGTGATGGAAATACCGAGAAATACATAACATGGAAGGACTATGAAAAGTTTGACCCTATTTTAACTCCATGTACTATGCCATTCATTGTAAATGGTGAAGTTGTCATGAAGAACGACACAACAGTATATAAGTCTGTATATGAAGCGTTAGAATATATGTTGAATTATAATCCCGAAAGATTTGACCCAAGCACTACACCATGTGCAATGCCTTTTATTAAGGACGGTGAAATCGTAAGAGTTCCGGATTCAACGGTTTACACAGCTGTTCAAAACAGTTTACAAAACATTTTAGCGAATATCTTTAATTCAGAAACTACAGAAATAAAATTACCATATATAACAGATGCTAAAGAAATTAAATCAAAAACGACAACATTATTTACGTCACTTAATGATTTAATGACTTATATCATTAATATTCCTGCACCAACTACAGCATTTGATCCAAACTCGACGGTTTGCAGTGTACCTTTCATAAATGACAGTTCATTAATTACTTTAAGGGATTCGACAGTAAATGAATCATTAAAGGCGTCATTAATGAAAATCATTGATTTTAATTCATTCACGAATACATATAATTCATTCATTAATGTTTCATATGCTTCTAAAGAAGGTGAGCCAAAAACTATCAATAAAGCGGTGTATGAAATAAAAGCATCAACGACGAAATTGAATTCGTTAACTTTTGACGGTGATAGTTTCGTTAATGACATAACATCGGGGAAAACAATTTTAACGAAAGAATACTTAAAATCTCATGTTAGTGAGTTCGTTGAAATTGAAAAAGAAGGTGGAATTAAGTTCGATCCACTGAATTTCATTTTCAGCTTAGCGAATGCGGGTGTTAGTTTCGCTGAATGGACAACTATACAGAGTGAAATAAATGCAATATGGACGTTTTTGGGGTCAAAAGCGGGAATGGGTGAGCTTGTAAATGCTGCAAGAACATTAGGTGAAACAGGAAATTTTGTAGATGGTTTTAAAAGACTTGTTTCAAATGTTTTAACAAACACAAAGAAATTATTTAGATATACCATACATAACGGTCAGATTTTCGAACAGATAGCAACAAACCCTCCGGTTATGGCTGCGTTGATGATGGTTAGAGATATAAAACCACGTAACGACGGGAACGAAGAACATGAACAACAGGATACTGGTCGGGTTATTCGAGACATTAAAAACGTGTATCCTGAAGTTATTGATTTATTTAGAGGAGTTAATGATTCAATTTCAAAACATTCTATAACCCTCGATGAAGAGAATAAATTAACAGATTATATATTCGTCATTATTGCAGAATTAATGAAGAGAATAAATGAAAAAGGAATTGGTGATATCATTAATGTCAGCGATGTAATGATGAAAAGAAATTTTGACTCATTATTTACAAAACCGAAAACAGAATATAGTCTTTATGACGTAATTACCGAATTAATGAAAAAGATTAATGATAATAAGAGTTCTGGCGGAAGAGTTGAATTAGAAGTGAATGATGTTAATGAGAAATTAGCCGAAAAAGCAGACAAAAATGAGCTTTTAGCTCTGAGTGATAAAGTCAAGAACCACGTTCATTATATAACTTCAGACGAACAGATTATAACGGACTACCATGGATATTTAACACGAAGTGATGAAGCGAAGACAAAAATGTTAAATGAAAGAAGATATAAATACATTCGTGCTAAAGGTTATGACATAAGCTGTACTGTACAGTATGACACGGGTAAAGCACCAGAAGCATTTGTTATAACGATGAAATTTATGCCTCTACTTTCTGTTAAAGGTGTATTAGTTGAACCAAGATTTACTTTGAGAGTTAAGGCAAAAATAACGTTTGAAGATGCTATTAAAAGTAAAGCTGACAAAGTTGAACTCGAAGCAATGAACAAAGTTTTGAAATCTCATAAACACAACATCTCCGATATAAATGAACTTCAAGCTACATTAGACAGTAAAGCCGACAAGAACCATACACATAAATCCTTCACTACTGTTAGAGCAGACGACATAATATTGAACTATACCCTTGGTTCAAGTGCACCTTTAGAGAATCCAAGTACAAGCGTAAAAGATACACTAAACTCCTTAAATAGTAAATGTATGAACATTGAAGGTCATGTCAGAAACTTTGAAACACATGAACTACCAGCAATGTTAGATAAAAAAGCAGATAAAACTTATGTGGATGCAGAACTAACAAAGAAATTTTCGAAACCAGATACAATGACATTTACAACAGAAATTATAAATGGTGAACCAGCAACTCCATTTGAATTTGTTAGAGGTCTTCAACCAGATACTTTTGAATTTTTCTTGGATAATTCTATTGAACTAACATTACATTATAAAAGTGGAACAAATGCAACATTTCATCCGGGAGATACATTCCAAATGGTATTTAATGACATAAGTTCTTTAGAATATGTTTATAGAGTTATGAGCATATATGATTTAATATATCCTATAGGAGCTGTTTATACGTCTATGAATCCAATAAATCCAAACACTTTATTTGGTGGTAGATGGTATGAAATAGTTGACAGTTTTCCATTCTACACTAATACGCAGTCAATGAAGATGGGAGGTTCAAAGAAAATAGGTATTGAAAACCTTCCTTCACATATGCATAGGTTCAGTGGAAGAACATCTGTGGAAGGAAACCATTCACATTCAATAACAAAAAGAGGTTATATAAATCTTGCAGCGGGTTCGGATAGATGGGGAATGAATAGATATGATATCTCAGATGACCCCAAAGATGTTAGCACAGGTATTTTCTGTGGAACTGCAGGAAATCATACACATGTTGTAGCTGGTATTACAGACCCAGCAGGTAATGGAAAAGATTATATGATATAACAATGCACGCTTGGATACGAGTTGGTTAAACTCTTTAACTTTACATAAATGAGCTTGAAAGAAGTATTCGAACAACATCCATGGAGGTCATTTAAGAAGTTCAATGAAGCAGCAAAAAGTTGGGGATTTACTAACAGAGCTGAAGTGAAAAAGTTCTTTGACAAAAATGTTGTACATCAAACAAAAATAAACCCTTACGACTACTTTTTACCAATTTACTCCAACACTCCTGACGCATACCAATTTGACACTCTCATTCAAAGCAGAAAAGGAGGACATAAACCATTCCTTCTTCATTAATGTTAACACTCGCAAAGCTTTTGCGTATATAATGAGGAATAAAGGAACTCGTGAAGTGTTAAGAGTTTTACAAAAGTTTGTAGCAGAACATAGCCCAAGTACTTTAACATCAGACCAAGACAGTGCATACCTCAGCAATGAAATCACAGATTTTCTCATTAAGCATAACATAACTCACTACACTACTGAAGACCATAACCATAACATACTCGGCATCATAAACCGCTTCATAAGAACGCTCAGAGATTTAAATCAAGAGCGAGACTTTACCGAAGAAACAATGAAACATTTTCTCGAAGTATATAATTCCTCAACACATTCTACAACAGGACATACACCAAATTCAATGACACAACAACAAGAAGAAAAGTATATACAAAAGAAACGAAGTCAAACACAAAATATCAGAAATTCAACACAATTTACCCTCATTCCTGGTACAAAAGTTCGTGTAGTTCTTGACGACAAACCATTGACAAAGAAACGTTTAAGGTTAAGTCGAAATTATTATATCGTAGACTCTACGCAAGGTAATGGATATCTTATAAAAGCTGCTGACGACTCCATAGCGTTTTACCCTCGTCATAAATTAGTCGAAAGTAGTAATGGCAAACTTGCTGAAACCATTGACGAAGCAAAGCGAGGAGTGGTTATTGAAATACTTGGCTATAACACAAACGATGACACTTATAAAGTAAGATATGAAGGAGGCGTTGAAGATGTTATACCATCTAAGAACTTGAGAGAGTCGAAGCCAACACATCTGGGACCATTAGAGCGGGAGTACTGGAAATACAAAAATATGCCAGAAAGAATAAGAAAATTCTTCTAAACTTTTTCATTAGATGTAAATCAGACAAAAATATATTTTAGGTGAAGAGGTGAGATTTCACCTAATTTCTCACCTCCTTTTTCACCTGTTTTCTCACCTGTTTTCTCACCGCTTAGCGGCTCAGATTGCTTTTGCTTTCTCGTGAATTTTCATGAATTTCCTTAAGATAGAAAAAATAAAGTTAGTTTTATTTTTATTTATTTTTTTATCTTGTATGTAAAGATATGATTTCAACAATAGGTTCTACAACAATTCAAACAACTACAGCACCAAACTCGCTAGTCATGAATCCTACATCTATGTTGGTAGAGATGAAAAGCTTCATTCCTTCTTCATATACTTTTGAGACAGAAATACAAAGAATTAAGCAAGAACTTTTAACAAGTAATTTAGACTGTAGTGCGAAAGATGAAACAAATGAACAGTATCTTTATGACATGCAGGACATTATTGACCATTTACCCAAATTGCCTGAAATCCAACAACAAAAGCTCACTATTCATGAATTCGATGAAATAGAAGTGAAACCAACTGACTCAGTAGAAATAAAGAAGTTCATACGTAAAGTAAACTATGAGTTTCTAGGATATCATTGCAACCATAAAGTTATGAACAAAGATTGCGACATGGTTTATAAAAACATTTCTGACATATATAAATCTGAGGAGTTTAAGACGATAACTTTGTTTCATTAGTTGCTGAATGTGTGTGGCAGATAAGAGATAAAGATAAAAGATGTAAAATATGGAATGGACAAATAAAACCAACAACTTTTGAGTTAAAGAAAACCATTGACGCCTTAGTTGTTCTAGCAGGTCAAATTTCAATGTATAACGCAAAAATGAATCCGCAATGTTCAAAATGTAAAGCAGCAATGAGGAAATATAACTACTCACTAAAAGAGATAGAACGTATGAGAAACGACTATGCTGACTTAAAGAAAGAAGTAGAGAAACCAGCAGAAGATAAAATGGACATGTTAGCATTTCTGAACAAAAACTATCCAACAGCTGACGATTTCCTTCTATCTGACGTCAAGAAGAGTATAAAGAAACTTTCGGCATTGTTAAAACTTTTGACATACTGACAGAAGAAATAGAAGCTACGAAATTGTTTAGAATTTCAAATATACATCGTACAATTCATGTAAAACGCTTATAAAATAACTGGGGTGAAAAATTAGGTGAGAAAACTGGTGAAATCTCACCTCTTCACCTAAAATATATTTTTATTGAATTCAGCAACAAAATTCTGAGTAAAATAATTTTTAGGGCATGTGTCAAACCGTTGAGTTTTCACAAAATTTAAAAAATAACGTTTACCATGTAAAACGCTTATAAAATAACTGGGTGAAAAATTAGGTGAGAAAAGAGGTGAGATCTCACCTCTTCACCTAAAATATATTTTTATTGAATTCAGCAACAAAAATCATGAATTTTCCTTAAGATAAAAAAATAACGCTAATTTTTTTCTAAGAAAAATTTTTATTTTGTATGTAAAGACAGTAATGACAAACATTGAGTTTGAAACAGTTAGAAAGATAGACAATGACACCAAAGTGGTTAGAATAGGTGATTTAAACGTAAGATACTCAAAGAAATACAACAAATATTCTTTGTCAGACATTATATCTCCATCTGGAAAGAAAACAAACGACTGGGTTAGAAATGCTTCAACTCAGAAAATTTTGACAAGAAATCCTGAGCTTATGATATCAGTAGCATTTCATGGAACAAGAGCATATCTTATAGACAAAAGTCTTATACCAATAGTTTTGTTATGGTTGACCCAGTTGTTGGATATAACTTCATAACATATGGTTCATTCGACTCAGAACGTTGCAGTGAAGGCTTACTTTACATCGTTCAGAAACCGAAGGACTTCAATACAAAGAGATATAAGATAGGAAGAACATATAATATAACTCAAAGATATGACAGTACAGTCAATAGAGTCAAGGTTGTGTTCGTTAATGATATGAGAGCTGCTGAAACAGAACTGCTTGAAGTTTTTGAGAAAATGTATGGTGCTCCCATGAAAGGTAAAGAAACGTTTGAAGTAGATGAGATAGATAAAGCTATAAAATTATTTGACGAAGTTGCTGAAAAATACATGTAAAGCGTTTATTTTTGGTCTTTTGTGAAAGTCAGAAAATAAAGTTAGTTTTATTTTTATTTATTTTTTTATTTTGTATGTAAAGACAGTAATGTCAACATCAGAGAACACAACAACTGCTATCGTTCATGAAGCCATAAATGAAGAATATGAATACATACAATATAACAAACAACTTCGCCTCATTCGTTCGGTCAAAGATGACATGTACCAAATGCAAAGTATAATGAATGCTCTTCGTTCTACAAAGCAAGCATATCATTGGTTTGAAAACCAACAGACAAAAGAACTTTTAGAAGAATTTCCTCATATGATTGCTTCCCTCGGAAAACCGAGAGAAGAGATTCCATTCGAAAATCGCAAGAATTTGGCACCTGGTTTGAAAGGATATTATGTTCATAGACTTTTAGTAAATGCTGTAGCAATGTGGGCTTCACCTCGTTATGCTTGTTATATTTTCATGATGTTAGATGAACTATATAAAGCAGAACGTGGAGAGATGGAAAAGAAACTTCAAGCAAAAGATGAAGTCATTGAATCCAAAGACAAAAGCATACAGAAAAGAATACCACGTTCAGTACCAAAAGGAAAGGAAAAGAGTTATAAGTATATGATATATACTGAAGAGTTGGAGAAAGAAGAAGATAAAGATATGGTTATGTTGCATTTAGTCAGAAGAAACAACAAGAGCTTTTATGACCTTGCTAAGATTTACAAATCTGACAGAAACTGGTTCTATCGTGAAAACTTACCGATTTCAATGACACCGAATGAGCAAATAAAGGAAATTGTCAAAAGTACTCTTCCTCAAACACACTATGACATCAAAGGTTGCACAATACTTACATTCAAAGAAGACTTACCATTACTGAAGGAAAAAATAACAGAATATTTCGATAACTTCAAAGAGGAAGAATAAAAAAATATATTTTTGCTTAAATGACGTCAGGGTCAATTTCTTCAACCATTTCACTTTCTTCGTCAATGTCAATAGAAGCTTCTTCAACCTTTGGTAAGAATTTCTGTATAACATCTTTGTTCGTTATTGTCTTCAGAGATGAAGGATAATATTTCACATTTGTTTCACCCTTCTTATATTCTTTCTGTTCGGAAAGATTCATAGCAATACTGAAGAAGTCAATGTTAGAGTTCTTTATGACAGTATAATGAGTATCTTTGACATTCACGAAGAAACCCTTTTGTTTCAAAACTACTGCTAACTCTTGTGAAGTATAACGTTTGCGGTCAATGACAATAGCTAATGGTCTGACATACTGACCAAACTTAGATTCTTTCACAAACTTCTTGTTAAAGATAACATTAACGTTTGAAGCACCATTGAACTCATTCTTGATGGCAGTAGCGAGAGCATTGTATGAAAAGAACTTGCAATCTTGCATGTGTTTCATTAAAATAAAAATATTAAATTATTTTGAAAAATAACTTAAAAAAAATCTAATCTAATTTTTTCAAAAAAATATTTTTTTATTTCCTACTAAAGATGTATCGGAAGTTGTCTAAGTTAGAACACTCGGAAATAAAACAACTTCTTACAGAAGCTAACATAGATGTTGCAAAACATTACGCGACAAACAAAAAAGCACTCGCTGACATCCTCAATGACTACAATGGTGAAATAACTTATGATAGAATTCATGAGTTCATAAATGCAAGAGCATTTCCTTTAAATGACGTTGCTATTGACTTATATCATAGACGTTCAATACCTCATGAAGTAAGGCGTGAGATGTTTGACATAACAAATGCGAACGTTGGTCATACTCGTAAAGCTCTTTCTCATGATGTTCGTCAAGAGATGTTTGAACTTACGAACTCAAACGTTGGTGAAACACGAAAGAGAGATGACACACTGAAACAACAGAGAAGAGAGATGTTTAAAAATGCTATAGAACAAGTTCGCAAAGCTAACGATGTCATTCGTTCCATTGACGACAAACCAAAAGAAGGTGAGAGATGGTTAAAGAAAGATGAAGAGAATAGGAAGAGAAATGTGAAGTCAGGCAATAGACTCATTGACTTTAACATCGAAGCTTTAGATGAACCAAACAGAGACTACTTACACAAACATTTCGGTAAGGTTTTCATGAGACTCTTAGAGAAGATTAAAATAAACTCACAACAGAGATGGATGGTATGTTATAAACTTGGTGGAAAGTATGAATGTTCTACGTTAAACCTCAATAATATTGGAAACATTACTACATCAGCTCTTGAAGGAGAACTTTATATCAGAGATAGAAGCAAATGCTGCAGGTATTGTTGAAATGCACTATGACTTCTTCTTGACAAACATAAAGAATCTTACTGAAATAAAGATGTATGATTTAACAGAATATGAAGGCTTAACGATGTCAGATGTAAAGAAAGGAAAGCCACAGAAGCGACCATATAGAGATGAAAGCACACTGACAGAAAGACAGAAAAGATTATTGAACAGACTTAAACAAACAGGAGATAAACAAGATATAGATGACTTCTGGAATGAAATCCTTGGTGAAAAGAAGTTTTATAAGAAGAGAAGCGGTCAGTTCTGGAAGTATCTTTGCACATTACCTATAAATCTTGAACGCTACCAAATCTTCAATGAACTGAACAAAAGAACTGCAACACTTATGACAGAAGACAATTGTTTCGTTTATGCTTGCATTCAGGCTGGAGTAAATGAAGAAACTATTGACCACATGAGAGAAGTCATTCGTGTTAGAGACTTTCCTCAAAGTAAAGTACAAGAAATTTCTGACGCAACTGGTATAGCATTTAATGTTACCATTGGTTATTTCGACAACTCCAAAGATAACAGAATAATTCACTACATACCAAAAGAATGTGAAACTGCTCGAACTATTGACTTACTTCTTGTTGAACACCACTACATGCTAAATGAAAGATTACCAATGACAACATACTTCATTCGAAACTATAAAGAAATTCTCAAAGCTTGTGGTGGAATGAACATTGAGAAACAGATGAAGATTTATACAAAGAGAGAGAACAAATATGTAGTTCGTTATGATAGAACAACACCGTTATGGATGTTATGAAAACATTGTGGGAGTGCAAATATTTCGAACCTATTTCTTATGGAGAACTTTTCACATATACGACTGACTTATATAAACAGAACCTTGCACCATTTAAAGATTTGACATATGCTCCAAAGTATTGTGTACAACTGAAGAAGAAAGCAGAGTCAAAAGAAGTAATAAAATAAGTGCAAGTTCATTCCTGAGCACGTTTTCTTTGCTGACTTTGAGTGCAGTACCGATGGCTTTCATAAAGCTTTTAACATATGTTACGACAGTGAAGATGGTTCAGTGAGTGAAAGCATTTGGGGTCAGAAACTGTGCAACAGAATTTTTGGAGCGACTTCCTGACAAGAGTTTAATATATTTCCATAACCTCAGTTATGATATAAACTTCATCTTAAGACACATGACAGAAGTGAAAGGAACTCCCATCATTAAAGGTTCACGAACAATGCAAATAACTGGTTTATATAAAGGACGGGCAATTATTATAAAAGACTCTTACAGTGTTATAAATAAGAAGCTTAAACTATTTCCTGCTATGTTTAACTTACAAACAGGACCGAAAGAAGTATTTCCATATAACTACTACAGCAGTGTTTGTTAGCAAATGACAACAGAACTGGTGTCATTTCTGAAGCATGTAAGTTTGTAAGGATGCAGAAATTCATGAAGAACATAGATTCCATCAAAGGTTGCAGAATAGATGAGAACCACTTCGACTTAGAAAAATATAGCACGTTTTACTGCAAACAAGATGTAAGAATTTTAAGAGAAGGTTTTGTAAAGTTCCGCAATGACTTATTGAAAGAGTTTGATTTAAACGTTTATGACTACGTTAGTATTTGTTCTATTGCTAACAAATTATTTGAGAACAGAGTGTACTTCCCGAATGGAAATTTATATGACCTCTCAAATAAACCAAGAGAATTTATTTCGAGATGTATTCAAGGTGGAAGATGTATGTTGTCAGATAACATGAAACAAAAGAGCGAAAGAAACTCATTGCTGACTTCGACGCTGTTTCATTATATCCATCCGCTATAGCAAGATTTATACTTTAGAAGGAATTCCAAAGGTTATGAAGGATGAGATGTTAAGCACAGAGTATCTCATGAGACATTTATTCGATGACGACCAAAAGGAACCCATTGGTGAAAAGTTTATGTCAGGCTTCTTTGTTCTCATTAAGATAACAGAGATTGGAATACATAGACACTTTCCTTTAATAGTTTGTGACCCTGAACTAAATCCAGAACTTAACGTTCCCAGAAGTTCAAAACACTTGCTGTTTAATGTATGTTGACCATATAACATTACAAGACCTCATAAAATATCAAGGTGTCAAATGTGAAGTGTTGCAAGGATACTATTACGATGGAAACAGAGATTTGAGAATAAGAGATGAAGTTAAGAAATTGTTTGAGTTAAGGTTAAAGTATAAGAAAGAAGAAAACCCATTACAAGAAATTATAAACTCATTCTGAACAGCATTTATGGCAAAACCATTTTATCTCCTATTGAGTCAAAAATAACCATAGTAGATGACAAAGATGCTATAAGATATGCTATAAGAAATTACAACCATATAGTGAAGTTCGAAGGTTTGGATGGTTCAGATAAAACTATTTTCAAGCTAACGAAAAGCATTTGCAGACACTTTAACTTCTGTCCACTTGGTGTTAACATTCTATCTATGTCGAAGAGAATAATGTGTGAAGTATTCTGTACTGCTGAAGACTTAGGAATGGACATCTTTTATAGCGATACCGACAGTATGCATCTCTACAATGAAGATATCCCTCGTTTAGCTGAAGAGTTTGAGAAACGTTATGGAAGAGTTCTCATTGGTAAAAACCTTGGTCAGTTTCATAGCGACTTCGCAGAAATAACACCTGGAAAACAAAGTTTAGCATACAAGTCAATATTTTGTGGAAAGAAGACCTACATAGACTTACTCACTAACGATTTAAATGAAGTTGCATTTCACTGCAGAATGAAAGGCGTGAAGCAAGATGTTATTGCTTTAACCGCTAATGAAATGTTTCCTGAAGCTATACAATGCTATTACAATGAAGATAAAGGTTTAATGGTTCCGCAAGGAAATTTGACAAAGACTCTGAGTTCAGTGTCATGAAACTTTATAAAGCACTTTATGACGGTCAAGAGATTGGATTTGACTTATGTAAGTCATGTCAACCTTGCTTTGAAGAGAAGTTTAACTTCTCAATAACGACTAAAACAAGCTTTATTCGTAAGTTGAAGTTCTGAGGTCATTTATTTTTGTCAGCAATGAGGTCATTCGTGATAAAAATAAAGCTAGCGTAGATTTTACAATACTGCGATGGTAGAGTTTAAGAGTTGTGCTTCAATGTAGAGACAGTCCTTATGGTCTGGAGGTAAGAACACTGGGCAGTTATGGTCATGAGTGGAGAACATGTCTATCCAAAACTCACGATTGAAGCCAGTTAATTTATAGTATTTAGGGTTAGGAAGTGGTGAAGTTCTTGTATGACCAATGAACTCATTTTCAACTCCCTTACTTAAGTTTGAATATAATATAGCTTGCTTTCTATCCCAAATGCCAGGTGTTACAATCTTTGAAAATTCATTTTTCCTCGGAAGCATTGCATCATAATTGAAAACATTCTTGAAATCATCACTTGGTTCAGAGATTTGAAATCTTATACGTAATGGATTTTCTTTCTCTTTAGCGACTTCATTGAATGGTGAGAATACAATGAATTGACAGTCATGAGTTCCATCTTCATTTTCATTAAATTCATAATGAAAGTCTATAAGTTGTGGCCGACTACCTTCTTCCTTCAGTTGTGCAAGAAACTCACGTAAAGGCTGTAAAGTTTGTACTTCAATGTTGAACTTTTTCTCGAACATCTCATTAAATGAAGTCATACATTGAAGCAATGTTGTATCGTCTTTAAAGTATTTGTATATGTGAATGTTTTGGGCGCTTAAAGACTGTTCGTCATTTTCTATCTCGACTTGAAGTATAAAGTCAACCTTTCTGAAAGCACGTGTTATATACATAGATGTTATGCCAATGTACTTCTCTTCATTTATGTTCACAATCCAGTCTGTTGGAAACTTAAACGTTACTCTGTTCCCCTTTATTTTGACGTCAGGGTTTTCACTACTGAACGCAACAGATAAAGGTATTTGTCTATACATTTAGTTCCGATAAAAATAAACCATTTACTCTTTCTTTGCTTCAGCTTCTTTAGCTTTTTGTTCTTCCTTTGCTTTTGCTTCTTCTCTAGCTTTCTTTGCCAGCAAACGTGGGTTCTTTTGTCTTCCAGCAGCTAATGCAGCAAGTTGTTTTTCACTAAGTTTTCTCTTTGGTCTCTCTGGCTTTTGTTCTTGTTTTTGTTCCTTCAGTTCGGATAAAATTTGCTCACGAATTTCTTTCTTCAATGCTTCAACATCTATGACCCCTTGGGTCTTGTCCGTAGGGCTTGTCTGAGTCATTTGACTGCAGATAAAAAACAAAATTAAAACTTTAACCGATGTAAAATGAGCTTGTCAAAATCAGAACGAGAGTCTATTATATTAAATGACGCCAGAGGAATACAACATCCTTTCTATTACGTAAGTCAGAGTAAAGATGGTAAAATATATGTAAGAAAAAGAAAGGTTCCATTAGCGAATGCAGAAAGCGACAACATTAAGGTGCATGGCAAGGGTGAAGTCCACGAAGCCCATATAAAACCTTCTGTTCAAACTGAGCCACCAAAGAACCAGAAGAAAAGAAGCCAGATGTACTTTCAATAACGAACCAAGAGCTTATTGCAAAGTTCGTGAATTTCATTGAAAAACAAACCGAGTCAAAGAACCCTGACCCGCCAGTGAAAGAAGTTGAGACAAAAGAGAATGTACAGTTCATTGAAAATGTCAAGAAACAACTTCCACCACGAATGCCAAGAAGAAGAGTGAGAATAATGAAGTAAATAGATATTTTTATCTGAAGTAAATACATGCAGAACGAACAGTTAAACGAATTTACTCCAGCAGAGCATATTCATCAGATTCGCTCATATTTCGATATCATAGACAATGCAGTTCAAATTGGTGACACTAATAGAAAATATTCTGACGCAAAGATTCCATCACAACCTGGAACTGCTAAAGATAACACATGGGTAACATTCAATCTCTCACCTCCTGGTGAAAATATGTTGGACCTTTACAATACATTCATTACGTATAAAATGGAAGGTCAATTTATTGCAGATAAAGAAATTGGTTCAGGTTCCAATAAAACAAACCCACCAGGATTTTGGATTGGTTTCGATGACGCTTTCTATGCAGTTGCTGGATATCAAATCCTTGCAAATGGTCGTATCGTATATTCTCAAGACAACGCAAGAGAAGAAGCATATATAACTTCAAACTCACAAACTACCGAACAAATAAAGAAAGTAGATGTTTTCTCAAAGACTCGACATGAAGATGTATGGAGTCATTTGGGAACATGCAGAACAGGACAAATTGTTAGTGGTCCAATTACAGCAGGAAAATCATTTGATTTTAAGCTTCGTTTAAGAATTCCTGTTAGAAAGTTTTTACCATTAGAAGCTATTCGATTTATTCCAGCTTTTGCAGGAAACATTCAGCTTAAAGTAAAGTTCAGTAGCGACGCCTTACAATGCACATCTATATCTGTAAATGATATCATTGCTTTCAATCCAACTCTTAAAGTTGCATTTGCTTCAGATTCAAATCCACCGACAAATAAATTTGTTCCATGGAATGAACCATTCACTATGATAACGAAGGCAGTAGAAGCTAGTGGAACAGTTACTATTACAACTGTAACCCAGCAACTATTTCGAACAAAGATGGATTTTAATGAATGTTTCATTCATCCAAAGTCATTCTCTTTAGACCCTAACATTTATACAGAACTTGTAGAACATTATACAAACGAGGCTTTATGTTTTCCTGTTAAAGTTATGGATTGGATTCCTATGGACGGTTCATTCTCAAAGAATACAGATAGTTCAAGTGCAACATTTACAGCAGCTTATACGCCTATTAATGTTAAAAGTATTTGGGCACTATTTAGAAAGAAAGACAACTATTATGTTAATTTTGAGAACCCTAAGTTTAAATATCTTCAGCTTTCCATGGGAGCTTATGGAAATATGCCTGCAGAACCTGAAAAATCATATGGACCTGTATTTTATGAAATGGTTGCGAACGCTTGCAATACAAACAATGATATGATTGGATTTAATGAAGATGTTATGAGGTCATTGGTGGATGATGGTAGTGTGGAACATAAATGGGATAGCTATGACAACACACATTTCTTATGTGGTTTTCCAACAGAAGTGGACTTTTGCTTCCAGCAAGGTCAAACATCTACTGCTCCAATAACATACAAATTGTCTGTTAAAGGACCTATTGAACTAGCAACTGAAAACGTACCAAAGCCACTTATTGGATTTATGAGGGATTGTTGCTTTGCCATACAAGTAAGACAGTCAGGCATACCAATAATAAGATTAGATGACTATAACTTAGCAGCTGACGACAGTGAGGAATAAAGGATGAACGTTTATTTTTAAAGCTTATAAATGAGTTCTTCATCAAGCTCTCGTGAACCTTCACCATCTATGAAACAAACTTTACCAAACGATTATGGAGCACCTATTGAATATTTCTTACGAGCTGCACAGTGGCAAAGAGCAGTCTCACCAAGGTTAGGTGTTCCACCAGCTCCTGTCAAAAATAGCATTTGGTCAAGTCCTTATATAAGATATGGTCTCCCACTAGGTTTGCTAGCTACAGCAGTAGCAGTTATGATGTTGAAAAGAAATAAAGCAAATGTTGTAAATAATACTGAAGTAGCTGAAGTTAAACAAACTCCGACACCTTCGCCAAAACCAACGCCTTCACAAACAACACCTTCAATGACTCCTGAACCTATGGAAGTACAAACTCCTGTTCAAAAGTCAACTCCTAAACCGACTCCAACATTTAAACCAGAACCTACTCCTCAAATAAATCGTAAAACTCCTGCGTTTCCTTACTGAAAAAATAACGTTATTTTTATTTAATATTAAAATTTTTATTTGATTGAAATGACGACTAAAGTCACTGAAGCAATGAAACAAAAGTTTTTGGTAGAATACATTAAATCAGGAACTATTCCAGAAGGTTTTTACATTCATCAAATGAAAGATGGTAGAGTTCAGTTTAGAAAGATAAAGCAACCATTAGATAAAGAAGGAATTTTGAGAAAGATTAAACTTCATGAGGACAACATTGCTAAACTTAGGAAGAAGTTAGAAGAGTTGGAGAAAGGAAGAGAGTTATAAAGCAATGAATTCAACAGGGTGAAAAAAGAGGTGAGATCTCACCACTTCACCTAAATTTATTTTTGTGCTATGTTTTCATACGCGTGAGGGTGGTGATATCATTAATTTTTAAGTTTATTTTTTATTTTATTTTTATATAAATGACGAAAACTATTGAGATAACAAACTACAACGGTCATGAGTTCAAGAATTTGTTCTTCGTTGCTCGTGAAAATACATTCTATCAGATACGAGGGAGAAAGGGTAAAGTTAGTTTGAGCGTTTATGATAGTAAACATAATGGAAAGTTTATACAAGCATATGATACAAACGGTAAGCGTGTTTCATTAGCTTTGTCAAAACTTACTAACATTTATTTTGACAGTGATTTTGACCTATATGAAGAAGAAAGTGAGTCAGAAGATTATGAGCTGTTATGTGAAGCACAGCAATGGGAGGAGTTGCAATACTTTTGTAAGTGAGAACGTTAGTGTGAACGTTAGTGTGTACGTTAGTGAGAACGTTAGTGAAGTCGTTAGTGAGAACGTTTATTTTTATATAAATGACAGAACAAAAATAAAGCATATCTACTCAACAGGAATGAGACCCTTACTGACTATGTATTCGTTTAATGCTTGATGAAAACAATGGTACATATTATCGTATGGGTATACACAACGTCTGTTTCCATCGTCGTCGTATATGTAGAGCTCAAATCCAGTCCAACCTTCTTTTGTACAATATGTAGCTTTATTTAAGTATGCATTTATGTAGATAAGGCAATTTTCTTCATCGCTCCAGAAATAATTTTTGTTCTTTGTTGAAATAGTTTTCGTTCCTCTGCGACCATAAGGAATGTATGCAATGAACTTTGCGTCATATGGGATTGTAATATATTCAGGGTTTCTTTCATCGTCAATGGGTCTGTCTTTGTTAAAATGCATGTTCCTCAGTTTTACTTGAGTTTTGAATAGTTCACGGAAACGTTCTGGGAAAGAGTCATAGTAAATGTAGTCAGACATGCCTTTACAATGAAATAAAAAAGTTGGAAAATAAATAAAATAAGGTTATTTTTTATTTAGTGAGGATGGTAGTGAATTCGTTAGTGAAGTCGTTAGTGAATATTTAAGGTTAAGTTGGTGTTATGGTTCTGTTGTAAAATATACGTTAGTGGTTTTGTAAAGTGTCAAACCGTTATCTTGGGTACGGTGGAACGCAGTGCCACAGTACTGAAGATAGGGATACTAACTTATGATGAGAAAAATCATATCAAAACAGCTCTAATCGAACATTCTACACAGCTTAGCATCCAGCTAGTTCCAAGTAATGCGATTACAACATCAACGGCCAAAGCCTTTCAGAGTCCTTTAATCATTTCTTCTCATCTCAATGTGAAGTGGCCCCAAACAAACTACAAGCTGACGTTACAACGCATTACAACCCGGTTAATACGAGCATATACATTAGAGCTGCTTTGTTATGATCTCCCTCATCAATTGATGAGAGATCTCATTATGAAGCAGCTCCAATCGAACTAAAAACCTACATACAAATGAGTGAAAACAAACTCATTAGAGTTGTGTTGCTTTGATTTCTCTCATCAGAAGATGAGAGATACCAGAACAAAACAACTCTAATCAAACTTTCTACACAACTCAGCACAGTATCAATGCAAAGTAATGCGTCTGTATCGTTAACAAGCAAAGTTGTTTCGGGTCCTTCCATTTTGGAAGAATTCGGAACAACTTTGCGAATTGATAGTGTAAACCCATATACATGAAAGCGTGCATGCATAAAGACAGGTATTGTCAGCAATGACTACCTGCCCAGCTATGAGTGATCAGAGAATTACCATCTCAGGCTTTTTGAGAATGTTTCAGCCAGGACCCTCGTATGTTGACTGTGAGAAAGGCATCCTTTATCTGAAATAGATGCTTTTCCAACAATCAAATTCGAAGATCTTCGACGTTGTTGTAAAAAGAGAAGGAGAAGGAAAGAAGAGGAAGGAGAGGAAGAAGGAAAGGAAAAGAAGAAGAAGAAAAAAGAAAAAAAGAAGAAGGACATATTAAATATAATGCGCACTTAATAGTGCCGAGGCGGCGGAGCCGCCGAGGCGCGATTTTTTTGACCCTATATTACCGCACGGCGATGTTTTTCTCGATTTTGTACAGCCCTACTGATACAATATCCTTAAGTTTTACTAAAAAGAATTTTTTAAAATCCCTGCAGATTCGGGGATTTTTTAATTTTTTGATTTTTTTCGCAAATTTTTCGAAAAAAAAATATTTTCAGAAGAGCCTTAACGGCTAAGTTTTATGTTTAATGTTGAGTATCAAAAAGAATGGGCGTCTGATATAGTCATCATATATCCCAGAAGCAAATAAAAATTCTGACTTTTTAAGCATAAAAAAATGAAATTTTATTTTTTGCAAAAAACAGGCCCCCTGGATGTACGTTTATTTGAGAGGAGGAGGATTAAATTTTTGAAAGCAGTAAAATTTGTAAATATTCTAGTTCTATAATAATATGTATTATTTTAAAAAATAAAAAATTAAAGCACGTTAAAATTTTTTTTGATGAATTTTTACAAAAGCTACTTAGGATTATGCAAAATATAGTAATTAAACATAAATTTCAAATCAGATTTTACTTATGATAAATATTTTCAATTTCCGAAAATTAAGTTCAGATCGACTCGATACGTTGTAATTACTAGATAAGGTGCCAAAAACCTATTAAACAGTATCAAAACTATCAAGATTGTAATGTTTTTGAAGAAAAATTTATAGAATTATGAACTTCAAACAGATATTATGTAAATAAAAATAATATAATGGATTTGTTTATTCGTATAATAGCAGCAATAAGTCGATTATTCACTTCTACTTCTGAGATTTGAATTTAATTTCGACAGAAAAAGAGATTCAAGAGGAAAATACTAGGGAATACAAACTGCCACCATGACAGGATTATTATGGAGCCAAGTTGTACTTTTTGATATTTTTAGAGTTTTACTACCTATTTAGGTACCAAGTAATTGCTTAAAAATTAAGGTTCTAAATTCTGAAGTTTACATGATCCTCCCGGGCGCACCCTTAAATTACAATGCAAAAACGAATATTTCACTAAATAATGGAATTACAGCAATTTTAAATCGGTAAATAGCTTATATAATATGTAAACATTTCATCTAATACAAAGAACTTCCAAAATATATCTTTTATATCTCATATTCTGAGTGTATTTTAAGAAAAATGAAATATCCAAAAAATTTACTGATTCTTTAACCAAACATCTATAATATATCATATTGCATACAAAGTAAACTGTTTTGGTGAGAAATGAAAATTTTCATATTTTATAGGAAGCAACATTAAAGAATAGTTAAAAAGTATTGTAGTCTGCATTCATAAATAAATATTATTTATTACAATAAGGTCAGTAGATTTGATTTTTAACAAAAATTACAAATGATTTTCGGCTGAAGAATCCTCTTGCTCTTCCTCGTATTCATATTGGAAGTCCTCTTCTTCAAGAGCATCAAATTCTTCTTGATCGGGGTAATTTTTGAGAGTATTTTTGTCGTTTTGTTCTGATTCTGCCTTTGCTTCTTTCTTTGCATGGACGTATCTTACAGAAATCATTGCACCTCTCTTTGAGAGTGTTCCGGGCTTCGAAATCTTGAAAATGGCTGCATGTCTGTATAATTGCGTAAGATAATGCATAAATGTACTAATATCCAATAAGAAATGTGAATAATCAATGCCGAATCCGACAATTCCAAGAACATTATCAACAATTCTCACTATCTCTTCATCGTTCTCTGCCAAAACTATATGGACGTTATGTACGTTAGGATCCAAAGTTGGTCTTTCTCATGTGAAACATTGAATTCTTGTAGGTGCATTGCATCAATAAGAGTTCCGCAAATTTGGACAACATCATATCATGAGTATCACGATGGCAGCAAGCTAGACGGATTAAGCCAAATAAGTGTTCTAGGCTCATGGTCGTCATTCTGCTAAAGTTCAAATTGGGATTCCTTGCGAGTTCGTAGTATAAAACCAGAATACTTTGCAAAGCTCTTTCCAATGCTTCAACTGGAGCAAAGAAATATCTTTTTCCGTTTGCTCTTTTTCTTCCGGCATGCCTAGTTCCATTTGGAAGTTGATTTTCAACGAGAAATTTGTAATACTTCAAGTTGATTAAATATGCAATTCTCAGCATACATAAGCGAGATGCTTGATCGAGACACGGATTGCGGATCGCTTCGAGCCAAAATGCAACTGATGCCAAGTAAATTCCTTCTCCATACTTACCGCCAAAGAAACAGGAAGCCATAACAGGAATGGAAAATAATGCTATCGGATATTCATCATTCATTGAAGCATTTTTTCCAAAGTCATGAAGTGCATCGCCACAATCATAGCATGAGAGGATTGATTCGATACTAATGACATACGTATCATCAATTGGAGACATAACAAGGACTCCATTGTAAAAAATCAACATTGTACGCCTATTTTTTGCGTAATGTATTACGTCTGTTATAAAAAACGTTTCTCCTGCATTAATTTTACTTTCGACAACACGTAAACACTCAGCAAAATCTTCAAGCGGAAGTTCTTCGAAAGTTTTCTTTTGAAAATCACGATAACCAGAATCTCCATCGGTGCAGACATATGGAATAATGAATACTTTCTTAAGACTTTCTAGAACTTTATCTACATCTTGTCTGATTTCTTCAGTACACTTTCCATGAAAATATGGAACAGTTGCAACAAGTATCTTTTTTGCATCACAGTTCAGAGGCATGAAATAAAACGCAAATATATTGTTAAATACTTGTTTGTTGACATTTGGTGGCCATTCATCAACTTTAACAGCATCAATAGCTATAGTTCCATATATTTTTTCACCATTTACATTTGTAGGAAAAGAAAGAAGCTCAATAAGCTTCATAATGTCTGCTTCTTCTAGTGCGGCCTTAATACCTGCCGTTTTTTTGCGGAAATGCCTTTGTAATGAAGAATATCCTGGAATTCCGAAAATATTATGGGTAATTTCTTGTGAAGTTGGGGAATGAAACTTCAATGCATTTGCATATTCATAAGTAGCATCTTCAAATCTTCTTGCTGGATCTGGGAGTGCAAGATTTTTGGCGATGTCCTTCAAGATCTCCTTCTGTAACATTGTGCATTTACTTAAATCTAACTGAACAATGTCAGGATTCGGATTTTCCTTTTCTTTTGGAGTTTCATTTTGAGTAGGATGCAATCTTTGAGCAAAACCATCATATCTATGGTTTTTTTTTGTATTTTCCTTCTCTTGCACGAGCAGCTTGCTCCGATTTCATTTGCTTATGCTTTATTGTTAGATATTCATTAAGAAATGATTCATAAATTTTGTCGTCTCCCATAAGCTTTGACAATCCTTGGTAAAGTTGAGAAAGAGTTTCTTCACTTTGACTTTTTTCCTGGTAAATCTTCTTTATCATTTCCATAGCAAATTCCATTGGGAAGTGAGAAAGATTGTTATTGATGATTTCGGCAAAATCTTCCTCTTCCTGGGTTTGCAATTGTTCTTCTTCATGAATTTGCGATTGTTCATTCTCGTACTCAATTAGGGCCCCTGACGCTTCCTCAATTGGTAATTGAACATGAGATTCCCGACTTAATGGCGAGTTTGTGGGATAAGCCTCTAACACAATAGTTGGCTGATCAATGTTTTGCTGTCCATCAGTGACAGAATTCATTGTTGGCCAAGCAATGTTGAAAAATGAAGTTAAAGCTTGGCGCGATAAATTGAATATGATGTCAAAAAATTGAGAAGAAAATTTGCGCCAAAAAATAATTATCAATCTAATTTGCTTTAAAATACTAACTATGTCATGATATATTATTATTTTCTAATGAATTCATGTTTTTCCAAGAATTATTATAATGTCTTTCCCGTTTTTGAATATTTGCAAAGATTAGTAGGATATTGAGTAGTAAATTTGATAAATAAATCTAAATGGTTGCATTTATTGCAGAAACGTAACAAAAAAAATCTTCAAATTTCAGCATTTCTTCAATTCTCTAGTAACTTTTTCTAAAATGTATATAATTATATTCTATGATAAACTGTTATTATCTTGAATACAAAGAGAATCCATTTTACTGGGCCATTTTTTGGAATTGAAATAATTGGAAATTAACACCTCATTTTAACATCTTCAAACGCATTTCTATTATAATTAAATATGCTTCACAGCATTAAAATTGAAAAATAAGACTTTTAAAAATTATCTAATATATCTGCTGAAGAACTAGAAAATTTCATATACTGTAAGAGAATCATCAATTGTTCAGATGGTGTTTAATATCATGGTATCAATACAACTGGAATATATACTTTATTCATCTAGTTCTATGATGATTTATAGCCTCATGAATTTTTAAAATTTTGTCAAAAATAGTGAATGTACCTTTATTTTGGATAAAAAAGTATATTAAAATAATATCATGAAATAACAACTTTATTTAGAAAAAACGATGAATACGTGAGCCTTTGAATAAGATAACAATTTTCAGCTAAAAGAGAAAAATGGCTCAGGCCAATTATTCTGGATCATGCAGTCTTTGGTTCTTGATGTAGTGAATTGAAGTTTAACCCCATGAGTTGGCAATTTTTGAAAAACTCTAATTGCTTCATAAGAGTTTGGTTCTGTGATTCAATTATGCTTATTTTGCTGCTAAATTCGCTTATTGCGTTCTTTAATTGTATATTTTCTGATTCTAACCTTTTCATGTATTCACCTTTTCTATGGTGCTTTTTCTTCTGAGGAGTCTCCGCGATAGGAGGTTGTTGAATAGTTTCGGTTGGAATAAACTGAAAATTATTGTTAATTGAGGCAGTTTCTTGTGTATTCATGGAAATTATGTCACTTTTTATAAAAATCTTTTTTGAAAGAAGGTAATCGCAAATTGAATGCAGCCTTTTAATTTTAGATCATTGTTTCGTCGTTAAATTCTTTTTTGCACTCAATGAACATATGCCGATTAAATTAATTAAACTTCAAAGGTTTGTAAAATTGCGATCAAATGGGATTTGAATTAAAATCAATTGGAAAATCGTGCTGGCATAAGCCAATATTCATATATGCTCGATCGTACAAGGAAAATATGCTGAAAACTTGGGGTTGTAATTTCAAATAGAGCTAAAAGCATAAATTACATATTGAGTCGTTCAATAATTATCAAAAGATAATTGAATATGATCTAATTTTTTGATATTGATATGAATATTCCGAATTGAAAATCTAAAAGCTGAGTTGTAAAAAATCCTATGTTGTACATATGATATTTATCGAATTTATAATATAATTATATGTTGAAAACATGAAAACATAATGAATTGAAATTTTTGAAATAAAGAAAGTTGTGTATAGTTAAAATGCTTCAATTTTTACTATTAACTATCGCAAAAATGATCAATTTGAGATGATAAATGTTTAAAATACATTTCAAAATTGAAAAATTAACAAATTAATATTATGTTTAGCCTTGCTTCTTCTTAATCAATGAAAGTAAGGATTTAAACGCATCCTGAATGTTTTGACCAGTTTTCGCGGATGTTGCAAAAAATTTAATTCCGTGCTTTGTTGCCCATTTTCCGGCTTCATCATTAGTAACTGCCACTGATCCATCAGATTTGGTTCCTATCAAAACACTCGTCAACCAATCAGCATTATATTTTACTCCTTCGTCTATCCACTTTTGAAGATTATCAAATGATTGTCTATTTGTTAAATCGAAAACTAGAATGAAGCCATTGGCTTCTGGATAAAATTCATTTCTAACTTCTGTATATAAGTCATTGCCGCTAAGATCCCAATAATGAATGTATGTTGGTGATCCATCAACATCAATTCTCTGAGATGAATAGTCAATACCAATTGTTGGAGTAGTTTTAGATAAACCTGAATCTGGTGCCAAGTATTTGTTAAGTAAACATGTTTTTCCAGTTGACTGGTCTCCAATCAACAATACTTTCATTTTTCCTAGAGTTGGTAACTGTACATCTACTTTCCTGCTCATATTTTTTTATAAAAATTATAAAAAAATGGAAAAATAGGGGATTTCACCACCCTTTTTTATGAATATGTCTGAATGAAAAGTGACAATTCTTTTGTTTCCTCAATTTAATTTTCGCAGCTCACAGCAAATCCTTGTTTACAAAAACAAGGAGGAAGTATTAGATAAGGTTTTTACATCGCATGAATTAGTCCATTGCGTTGAAATCGTTACAGATAATAAATTTCCTGCAAATCCGCCGCCTTTACCAGAATTTCAACACGTTTTGCTTAAAACAAAAGCATTTCAGGACGATGACGCTATTAATGCTCTATTTGATCCTTCAACAATTTTTCAATCTTTATCTCCTCTTGGAACAGGCAACACAATGGTTGTCAGAAACTCTCGCATCACTTTTGTATTAAACCAGCCTACATATGAAAGGTTTGGATTAATTGGAAAAAAGTATGAAAATGTTCATTACATTACAATTCAACCTGATGAGCGCGATAAGCTGAAACTTATAAGGAAATGCGAAAACGTTGAAGGATTACTTTATTCGGATGATACTTCTTCTTTAGAAAAATATATCAAGAAATCAAGGCCTAGTCCATGCCAAATTGATTACTGGACAGCTACAAAACCTCTTGAATTTGATGTAAAGCAATTTGAAAAAGAAGAAACATATCCAGCAGATTGGAAACTAAAAATATCAGACGCCATTGACAACTCTTTATTGACAAGGAATCAACTCGAAGGAAGAGATACATATAAACGAATTATTATCATTGGTTCTATTAAATTATCAGCATTAAAAGATTGGATCATAAATCTTGGCTCAGGAAGCTTTGTTTTGGTTACCATCTGGGACTTTAGAGATCAGATAGCATCATTCATAGGTAATAAGCTTAAAATGGACGGTTTTGGAGGAAGTGTTGAATCTATAGTCTTCGGTGACAAAGTTGCACGTCCTTTTAAGTTGCAAACCATCGAATATATAGATGAAGAATAAATGTTCGTTTAATTTCATGATTGTTTTAAAAAAATATTAAATAAAATTCATGTTTTAACATATTTCTTTTTTAATCAAACTTACAACTGGAAAAATTAATAATGATATTGTTAATATGGATAGGTTTACATAATTAATTTTGGTAATTTATTTTTTTAGAGAAATAAAGATGCAATGTAAGTGCATCTTACTTTGTTTATGCTAAAGAATTCATCGTCCATAGGAGTTCGTCTTTAATGTTTTAGTATTGATGATTTCGAATGCGATAAAAATTGATTTCATTTGTCACTTTTTAGATTTCACATTTAATATTTGATGAGTATTTTAGCAAGATTCTTCAATCCAAAAGCTCAGAAACGTAATGCATCCTTCGAACTTCTCAGATTGTTCGCGACAATCAATGTTCTGATCAGGCACATGAAATTTCTTGTTTTTCACACTTCCCAAAACGACAAAGAATATCGCGCATTAATGTTTCTTCATTCACTCACATCGACATGTGATAATATATTTGTAATAGTGTCCGGATATTTCCTTTGTACCACAGATCTTCGTGTCTCCCGTTTATTCCCACTTATAATCCAAAATTTCTCATATTCAGTAGGCATGTACTTCTTTGCAATCTCTATGGGCTGGTCACAGTTCAATTGGTATGAATTAGGACGTTTTATGATGCCATTGACGAACGGAGTTTATTGGTTCGCTCCGCCATTTATAATTTCCCAGATTGCGTTCCGTCCAATGTATAAAGGCTTGTTACAACTTCATCCTCGCTACCATCTCTTACTTGCTGTCATGGTTTCAGTTGTAGCTGCCGGAGCTACAATGGGATATGGCAAACACATATCACAGTGGGGAGATGGAACTTGCATCAACCTATTTTTCCAATTTCTTTTGATCGGATCTTATATCAGATTTAATAACGTCAATCCGAGCATGACAGTATGTATTCTTGGTATAATTATTACAGCTGGACTCCACTTCCACGGCATGGTCGGTGATTTTGACAAAATTTTGGGAACTCAAACAGTTATTGGCCAACTTGTTCGTTCTGACGCTATTTTCGCTCCTCTTGTTACCCTCGAGACCATCTTTTTACTCTGCTTCTGCCAGAGGCTCCAGATCACTGGATTAACCCGAACAATAATTAATTTTATTGCAGACTTCAATTACGGTATTTACACATGCCATTGCCATGGAAAGGTCATGTATCAGTTCACAGGCCAATATTCACCCAACAAACATGTCATTCTCGACCACGAATGGATTCATATGTTATACGGCAGTTTTATGATTTATTTCGAATGTCTTGTTGTTGAAATTGGACGTTCTATGCTCACAAACTTCTTCATCATCAATACTAAGTGGTATGCTTCATTTTGCGAGGCTGTTGACAATTATTTCTCTCCAATTGAAGATAAGCTTAGTGTTGCTGAACAAACAGAAGAAAAAATTGATGAGAATAAGAATGCCCAAGATAATACATCTGATCAGAAGATTTTCTCTCCTTTATAATATTTCATTATTTTGTTATTGTTGTTTCATTTGAAATGTTAATATAAATATTGTTATATTCTATATTGTCGTTTATATTTCAAACATGAACAAAATAAACATAAAAATCAAATTGAAAACTCTTAATTCTAATCAAAAAACCTTTATCATTATACGAATTTAATTATTAATGATATTTATGATGATAACGTTAATCTAATATCAATATTTCAACAGATTTTCTTTTAAATATTGAATTTAGGTAAGAATTTATTAGGTCTTGAGCACTATAATAGAGGTAGAACATTTTTCAGCTAATGTATAGGCTATTTTGAACATGTTATTTAGCAAATTAGATTTTATCTCATAAAATCTAAGGTAATAGGTGTATCACATGTAACTAGCAATATGAAATGATGGACACCTAATTTCTTTTTAATAGTAAAAATAATAAAAAAAAATGTAAATTAAGTATATTTAGAGTATTAACAAAAATGATGTGCTTGTGTATTGGCAATAAGAACTGAAAAAGATGTAAAAGTAAATTTATTGATATACGGGAAAAACTTTCCGAGGAACTTCATATAATTTTGTTGTACACGATTGAAATTCATCTTCATATATAGATGAAGGTATGTTTTTGAGTGTTGTGGTTAATTCTTCGATGGATTTATCAAATGCTTCGATTCGATCTTGATATTCGTCATTGCATGCATGCCTCAGCTTTGGTGAGAATTTTACCTTAATAGTTTGAGCTAATGAAGTAACTATTAATTTATCTTGTGATTTGTCTGGAAGTTTTTCGGCAGCTGCTATAATTCTATTAGTAAAAAGTTCAAAATCAGTTATTATTTCATCAACCGAGCTATATTGCGAGTTGGAATATTTTTCGACCATAAAATCAAAAAAATTTGGTTCTGCTAAAAAATCGAAGAATTCGCTTGGTAGAGTATTTGCATTCTCGATTTTAAAACAGTTTATTGGAGAACTCATTAGTTTTGTAAAAAAATGGTCTATCTTTTCTTGATTATATGGAGTAATCATTTAAATTGTCACTTTTTAGGAATTCGACTCTTTCTATCATCAGGTTGATTTCCTGTTAACTTAATCATTAGATTTACTTTCATGAATATTCTTATGACTCTATCTGAAGCCTAAAAATCATTGATTCTTTCAAATTTGGAGCTTTGCGATTCTTCATTTTGTAAATTATTTTCTGAAAGTCAACGTGTCCTCTAGGAACTTGAACTATAATTCGTGGGCAACACATATTTGCTTGATTGAAATTGGTCTCGTTGAAGTTTCCAAATTTCGTTTGTAAAAGCAATCACTTTTTTCCTTTTCGGTGAATTATTTTGAAATTGTGTACCTTGTTGTAAGTGATATTACACTAAAAAATAAAGCTTTTTATCGTTGTTCATCACTTTCAATGGTTACACTTTTTCTGAAATCACCCAACAATTAGAGAAATAATATTCACCATTGCATAATGTGTATACTCTTTTATGAAAAGAGATGTCCCAACAGAAAAAAGAGGTTAATTTGGTCACTGAATTTAAAATGCCATAACAATTGACAACACCGATCTGTATAGCTAAAATAATTTGAATGAACCAAAATAAACTACAGAAAAAAACATTTTATATCAAAAATTTTTAGATCCAAAAAATTTTGATCGGTATTTTTCAGTACCATCAAAAAAAATTCAGAGCCATATCATTTCAAAGTTATGGACTCAAACTCGATTGCCCCACCATCCTCTTATAGTGTAAACCTGTCCGGATGGCTATTTAAGAAGGGGAAACTTCTTCGCCTTTGGAAGAAGTACTATGTACAGTTGCATAACTCAGAATTGATCATCAGACGAAATGAATACGAAACTAAGGCTAGACATCAGTATACCGTTAACAAAGATACAGATATTAAGTTAGTTAAGAACGGCAACCACGCTGAAATACAGATCAAAACCAAAACAAATAAAATAGTTTGCTTATCTTCCAAAGAAGAAGAGTCACTGAATAAGTGGTTCAACGCGCTTAAGTCCATTACATACAGCAGTGCATTGCTCTCCATGGATGACTTCGAAGTAGTCTCAGTAATCGGTCGCGGCCACTTTGGAAAAGTTGTCCTCGCAAAGAGAAAAACAACAGGTGACTTTTGCGCTATCAAGTCAATTAAGAAGAAATGCCTCATAGACCGTGCCCAGCTCTCCCTTATTGTCAGCGAAAGAAATACTTTGACTAAAATTAGTCATCCATTTGTTGTGAACATTCTGTTCGCATTCCAGACATGGAGCAAGTTCTACATCGGCATGGAATACGTTCCTGGAGGAGATTTAATCGGTCTCATGCGTAGAGTTGGAAAATTATCAATGAATGACGTTATCATTTACGCTGGCGAAGTTGCTTTGGCCCTTGAGTTTATCCACTCAAAAGAAATTGTTTACCGTGACCTCAAACCAGAAAACCTCGTAATCAATTCCGATGGTCACTTGAAACTCGCCGATTTCGGCCTTTCTAAGGATATTTCAGAGAGTAAATTGACCAACACTTTCTGTGGTACCTCCGAATACATGGCTCCTGAGATGTTATTCAAAAAATTTTATGATTATTCAGTAGATTGGTGGGCTTTCGGCATTTTAGTGTATGAAATGATTTTCGATGCTACACCATTCCATTCTGAGCTCAAAGATTCCACATTCTCCAAGATCAAATACGCTGATCCGACATATCCAGAAGGAACTGATCCAAACATCATCAGTTTCATCAATGGATTCCTCGAGAAAGATCCTCACAAGCGTACAAAGTACTCAGATGTTGAGAATCACCCATTCTGGCAGGGATTAACAAGAGAAGACATCCTTTCCAAGAAGAGAAGCCCACAATTTATTCCTATAATGGGTAAATCAATCTCTACTGAGTACTTTGACTCCAAATTCACTGAAGAAAACCCATTTGAAAGTGTCGCTGAACCAATGCTTGATGATAACGACATTTTCTTCGGTTTCTCTTACATGGGAAGTGAATCTTTAGAAGAAGAATCCCCATCTTAATCTTAATCTTTTTATTTCTTTATATTATTGTTTTATAAATGTTTATGCTATCCGGAATTTCAATTTTTATATATATTTCTCATTTAACTAACTAATATTAATAATGATTTTATAGTTAATGAATATAAATCTACAATTATTGTTTTATCAATTTGAGTTTTATCGATAGAGAGCATTAATTAGAATAACTTTCCGTTAGATAATATATCAGTGTGGTTTCTGACTTTTGATTGAACAGTAAAAAGTAAATTTGCTTGAATGATAAGTGGTTCATTACCTAAATTCACTCTCCATCTGCTTCCCTTACTATTTGTTAATACAAGGCATTAGTGATATCTTTGTAATTCTTATATATGTTCATTTTTTCCAAATTCTGAGGTATTTGGTTTGGAAAAAATAAAAAGAAGACTCAAAAATAAGCTTAAATACTCCAGCAGCTGAAATACAATTAAACTTCTTCATATGAATCCTTAAATTAGCCAAAGCTTTTCTTCAAAAAAAATATTTATGGGCGATTGCCTTCTCTCTTTTACTGAAACAGGTGCAGCTTTAACAAAAGCTCTTAAAGATTTCGGTAATATTATCAAGAGCGGTAAGTCAAGACAAATGATTGAAACATATACACTGAATGAGATTAAAGTTGCAATTGTTCATGTTTTATCTAAGGGTGATGTCGATCAAAATATCATTATGACACAAGACATCATATTCTTTTTGGAAGAAGTACCTGATGTTATTGAAGATTTTGCAAGATCTCCAATATTAAGTTACATATCAAACATGAAAACTCAAAAACCAGAACTAACTGAAAATATCCTTCGTATATTAGCTGTATTCTTTGATTATATTCAAGATTCACTATTAAATATCAATATTACTCCACTTTTACAAAATTTATCTAAAATTAGCCCTGATTTTATTCCAAATGCTGTTGATTTGCTTACTGGAATTATCAATGCCTACAATACTTTCCCAAATCTTCCTGCGATCGGAGATTTACTGCAATCAATCCCAAATTTAAACAATGAAACAAAAGAAATGTTTTTAAATCTAGCAGCTCTTATGATTTCTAAGATAATACCAGAAGAACTACCTGTTGATCACTTATTCACTTGTTTAAAGCAAATAAAAGAAATAAATAGCCAAGAAACATGCATGAATCTATTAATTGCAACGAATATAGCAATGAGATTCAAACCATCTTTCAACCAGATCAACAGTTTGTTGTTTAATTTCAACGAAATTCCAATTTTACCACAATTTAAAGGTAATACAGAAATTTTTAACTTATCAATGCAAATATGTATCAACCTGTTCCCAAAGACAGAATTTCCAAATGAATATGCTAAACATTCATGTCCTTTCGGCGTAAATAATAATAAATTTGCAATTCAATGCATTGACTCGATCACAGCTTTATTTTATCAATACCCAGAGAATGAGCTTGTCACAGCAGCCTTTGCTGGCCTTCTAAAGTTCAGAACAATAAGACCATCCGAAGAATTATTTTCAGCAATGAAGAGAAGCTGCTCAAACCCAGAAAATATTGCATGTAACCTTCACATTGCATCATTCCTTGATGATATGACTCCTCTTTGCAAAAACAGAGTAATTTCGAAATTCGAACATTCGAAATTCCGCAGAGAAAAATGGTTTTCCAAAACATGGCAGAAACTACAGAAAAAGTGTTCTCCAATGGAATCTCCAGAAAACATCCTTGAGTTTGGAGAGCTAGATGAAGTCCTTGAAATCATTGGTTCCAACATTCTCCCGCCGGAAAAGCTCGTGGGAGGTCCATTAACCAGGCTTTCGGAGCTTATTAAAGAGCATGGAACAGTTATGGATTTAAATGTTGCGCCAACGATAGAAGTAGCGCTCTCAATTCTCGAAACTCTTCAGTTCGACCATGAACAACCGAAATGGAGAAACGATGATATCAGGAGTCTTCAGAAATGCAAAATTCAAGTCAGATGCGGAGACCTGCAGTTAATTGTTTCCTTCACCACAAGCATGGCCTATATCGAAGGATCATTTAACCTCGCTTACAATCCCAAATGCAAGGACAGTTTGATGAAATCCATTAAAAATCAGTCGGAATTCGCAAAAATGATGCTCCAAGAAGAGGTAGATATGTTTGAGCCAGCAAGATTCGCCGTATTTTCAAGGATTTTTGGCAATCCGGAGTACAAATTCTGTTCATTTAAATTTAATGGTCACACTTTCAACATAGATGATAGCTTATCAACGGTGATCGCTACTCTCAATCCATCCCTGAGATCAATTGACCGCCTGAAGATAGAGTTTGAAGCTGTAGAAGGAGATTTTCCGAGAATTAATTTCCCAATTCCGGACATTTGCCTCAACGATGCGTACAAAGAAATACTCGATTTCTTAAAGCTCATCCACGAGATGTGTCCTAACATAAAATTGACCGATTCTTCCTTTGCAAAAAGCGTAATTAGAAAAATTAACTCTCCGATCGAAGCAATATTAAGAAAAAGTGCTGAAATATCGTTTGTTTATTCGTATCCGTTCTTATTTAACTTCACTCAAAAGTTATTTGCTGCAAGAACGGTTCTTGCAACTCCAAACGATGCAATAGAAGCATTTGCTGAAGCTTTTAGTATCAAGAATTACATATCTAACCTTACCAGGCATAAAATTATGGTAAATAGGCAAGATATTTATAAAACTGGCTCATTGGTTTTACATATTGCTGCAAGGAGTGCTATTTCTATTGGTTTCATCTTCGAAAACGAAGTTGGCTTTGGTAGAGGCCCTACACGCGAATTTTTCCAGTTAATGTCGCGAGAATTAATGAAAAATGAGCGTAAAATGTGGTTATCCGATAACTACACCGATGAATATGCATATACCGCCCGAGGACTTTTCCCTCGTCCCGATGCAAATCCCGATGATTTCTTCACTCTCGGAGTTTTGGCTTCGAAAGCTTTACAAGAGTCACTTTTCTTGGACATTGAAATTTCCCCAGCTTTTGTAAAGATGATTTTTGGAAGGGAAGTAACGTTTGAGGAGATCGATCCGGTTATTGCCAACTCCCTTAAAGATGAAGATGGCCTAATCGGACTCGATTTCACTTATCCTGGCCTTCCATTAAAATTAACTGACAAACATGAGGAAGTAACTGCGGAAAATGTGAAAGAATACGTTGCTTTGGTGAAGAATGCGGCTATTAATGGCATTGAGCATATAATTAACCAGTTTAGAAGCGGATTTAGCAGAAATGCTGAATTATTATCTGCACAGTTGTTCGAACCTGAGGAATTCTCACGCGCTCTTTGTGGTGATAAGGCGTTGTTTAACGCACGAGATTTGCAGATGTTTTTGATTCCGAAATTTGGATATACCAAGAAATGCACTGAAATTAAGAGATTAATCAACATGATCGCTAATTTCACCCCACAGGAGCAGAGATTGTTCTGCAAATTCATTACAGGAAGCGAAAGATTGCCTCCTGGCGGATTACCTGCATTAAGTCCTCCGATTGTGGTTGGAAGAAGGGATGGCCACGATGAATCGTTCCCTTCTGTAAGCACATGCAGTAATTACTTGAAAATGCCAAGTTATTCGTGTGAACAGATAATGAAGGAAAGATTCTTAACAGCGATGACTTATGGCAATACATTTACATTCTCTTGAGTTTGTTTGTAGATTTATTTTTGTTTATATTTAATATTAAATGTTCTATCTTTCTGTTTTTATTAAAAAAAAATCTTGTCACACTTTCCACCAATTGATTGAAGCTTTGGACATAACGCGCAATCAACTGATTCTTGACAACAAGTAGTGCTCATAAATTCATAGTTATAAGATTTAATTCTTCAAGAATCTCCTCAAACATTGAAGAAAAGAGTTTCATCATATGTCGGAAAATATACCAAATATCTTGCTCACATATCGATGTTTACAACTTATTTCGTGGACGATTGGAGCGTCCGGGGACTAGATCGCTGTCCATGGACTTGATTCATATCCATGGACATGTCGTTGTATGGAGTACGGTTCAATTTTTGAGAGCCTCACTACTTAGATTTTAGCCATTCAATTTTTAGCGCTAAAAGTGACACATCAAAAATTTTTTACAGAGGATGTCAAGTTCTGAGATGTCACGAAAAGAAACTGGATGTGATTTTAAAGACATCAAGCCAATTAAAGCATTCGAATACCCTAATCAAGCATCAAAAATTATATGGAGCGTCGATTCCAATAATATTTTACAAACATCTTCACAAATTATCGAATTAATTACAAATAACAAAATATCTACCCAAATGGCGCTTTATTTGATTGATATTATTTCACAAATTCGTGTTAAAGAAATTAAATTATTTTCAGAACTTTACCAAAAGATATCAAACGAATTCTCATGCAACACCCTGCCGAATAATTCGAATTTGGCAGCATCATTATATTATAAAGGCCTCAAATTCGAAGGTTACAAACCTAAAATGAAAGAAGAAGAAATTCTCAATATATATTCAACAGAATCTCCTTTATACTATATTGCATGGGACAAAGTTGATGATCTTAAGAGTAAATTCCCAAAGCTTGATATTATTAAGAAAATAAATCTTAAAATCACAGCGCTTAACTGTTCAATTAAATATGGATCAGAATTGTGTTTCAATTACTTAAAAAATTTAGGAGCTAAATACACCGATGAATCCGAAAAATATGCTGTTCAAGGCGGAAATCAAAACATTTTTATGCAAATGATAGAAGATGGTAAATCATTTGATGACATGATTAATAGAGCATTGAATTATCGAAACTATGAAATTGCTGAGTACCTTAAATCAAATTTCGGACAAGCTCCTTATTCAACAGCAGAAAGTATGTATTTCGGAAATTATGATATTGGATCTTATTTACTTTCTAATGGAGAAGATATCAACAAAATTTATATTCTCTTTATTTTCATATTTATTATTGTTTGATAGAATTATCTTTCTCTTTATATTTATCATTGTTTTATGGCATTATCTTTCTCTTCATATTTATCATTGTTTTATAAAATTTTCTTTCTATTCATATTTATCTTTGTTTTATGGCATTATCTTTCTCTTCATATTTATAATTATTTTATTACTTTCACTTTCTTTTCATATTTATCTTTATTTTATTACACTATCTTTCTCTTCATATTTATAATTATTTTATTACTTTCACTTTCTTTTCATATTTATCTTTTTTTTATTACATTATCTTTCTCTTCATATTTATCATTGTTTTATTTGATTTTCTTTCTTTTCATACCTATATTTCCAACTCTTGGAAAATTTTCATGACACCCTACCCAGGGTCCTAAAATGGGTATTTTCCTCACACAGACACCGTGGTTTTTTGAGCCGGGAAATAAATAGCGCAGACAGTTTCTACATATAGAGACATGCTTATACTTAGAGTTTGACGGGAATCTAAAGTGATTTTTTTCTGCATCGCGAAATCTAATGCAATCTCAAAATCATGAAGAAACTGCGAATCGGAGCGCAATTTTTTAATATGTTAATATATAAAGGTACCCCTACTACTGCAAATGCTTCAAATGAAAATCTAAGAAATCAGATTAATTTGATCACATTAGTATAGTATTGGTCAAACCAAAAACTCATATGTTGATATATAGCCTATGGATATTCATATTATCTACTTTTCATTGAATTACATAAGATTTAATAATCTCATAAATATTCTTTTTAATTTTCCGAATTCCGTGTGCATTTAGATTGCCCATACCTGTATATAATAATTCTAGAATGGTTTGGTTAGATATTAAGTTTTTTAGATTAATATTTTAACATTTTGATAAAACAAGCATTTGTTCCATTTTAGAATCGCCATTGAACTCTGGTTTGACTAACATGATGTTGTATGATCAAATAAATTCTAACTTCATGAGATAAATTTTGAAATTAGAAAATGCGATATCTGACTCAAATATTTATCTGAACACATTTAACATTCAATGATAAACTAAAGTACTATACAGCAGATTCGATTTGGCTTATATTTTATATAATCAACAAATAATCCTATAAAATTGTGCTATTCACGTTGCTCAAAGATGTATTGAACATTCCCTACTTGTGTATTGATAAAATTAGATATAGATTCTAATGTAAATCGATATTTTGAAAATTCATATATATTTTGTCTTGGTTTGGCATTTGATCGTGTTGAAACCGGAATTGCAATATATATCATCTAAATATATAACTATCAAAATATGAGCTATAGATTTTTAAATTATTCTCCTGAATATGAGTGACTAACATAATTATATTGAATTGAGTAGTAAGAATCATAAATATTAGAATCTGACGATAATTTATTATAACTTTATATAGGAACAAGATTATAAATGATGATGAAAATAAAGATTAAATTTAAATCTGAAAATTTGAAAACATTAAGTGTATTGTGCACTCTTGTCGGTCTGCATATCTCATTCCGGGAGACATTGTTACTGCATGTCTACCAGAATGAGACAATCTTCTGCAATCAGAATGTGATTGCAAAACTTTGAGCGACAAGAGTGTATTGTGCACTCTTGTCGGTCACAGTGTCTCATTTCTGGAGACATTGTCACTGCATGTCTCCCAGAATGAGACAATCTTCTACAATCAGAATGTGATTGCAAAACTTTGACCGACAAGAGTGTGTTATCCACAATATTTGTTTATATACTATGTTTTTTAGATCAAACCCTTTACATACAATTGTTCAAATATAATTTTCTCCATTTAATATTTATTTTTAATTTTTTGTTCTTTATATAACTTTTTCTTCTACTAAACTATTTTACAGACTCTTCTGAGCTCTTCCCACATATAAACATGTGACAATAACACATATATACTCCCTTCATATTCTGATCTCATGACATATTACAGCACAAACTATAATTATACAACATACCTCATAAAGTCTGATTTTACCCCTATCTAAGCGTTCAAAACCTATTTTCCCCGCGTAATCTGATTCTTCTGGCTCTGCTGATTCGATTTCTGCTGTCAGATCGTGAAAATATGCATCACACAATGAAATAAACGCAAATTACCTAACTTAATATTTTCCTTAAAATTGTCAATTCCTCGATCTTGACATATTTATTATTTCCTCCGTTTTCCCTCACAAATATATTTAATTTTCTGAATAAGACGGATAATAAAATGAATATCTTAAAAACTAAAATACAAAATTAATGTTGGGTAATGACTAGATATAGTATGCACTTTTGAATTCATACATTTTTTGAAAAAAATTGTATTTTCAAAAAAAGATGTTGTTTCAGTATGAACTTGAAGGTCATGAAAAAGTTGCAAAAGTCAAAAATTGAGGGTATATCTACGTTATGAATTTTGATTGATCCTTTCTGTTGTAGATCGGAATTAAAGAAGTCAACAGCGAAACATAGAATAACTAGGAAAAATTTAACATGATATCTATTTGGTCTTCATAAATTGGGTTGTACCAAATAACTAAATTTTCCAGGCATTAATTTAGAATGCTCATAAAAAGTAAAGTACATCATTAATTATTAATTTAAAATTTTCAAAGAATTGAATCCAAAAATTCAAAGAAGTAAACTTTAATCTCAAAATTCGAGGTAATTGAAAGGTTTACACACAAAGAATATGATTTAAAAAAAAAAGGTAGTGGGGCTTCCAGGCACTTCGTGCCCTCTAGCCCCGAAGATGTTTAGTATAAATGAAGTTTTTATTCGGATAATTGTTAGTCTTCTGGTGTGAATTCGGAGGACTCTTCTTCTTCCTCCATTGCTTCTGGGAAGAAGCCTTCTTCTGGGTCGAAAACATTATATAATGTGTCGCTTTTCACAAATTATATATGTTTTCATGTTTTGTCACTTTTCTGTCACTTTTCAGGAAAAAACATTTTTATTATTATATATAAATGAATTTTACAAAACCTCCGTTACCGTTCTTTGGAAATAAGAGTAAATGTAAAGATATTATATTGAGAGAACTTAAGAAACTACCGAATGGTCTAACATTTGTAGATTTGTTCGGTGGAAGTTTCTATATATCCCATTTGTGCCATACAATATTCCCAGACTCAAAGATTATATGCAATGACTTCGACAACTATATGGACCGTCTCAAACATATACCAGACACAAACAATATATTGAAAGAGTTAAAAGAAAAGATACCTATAGGTAAGATGGAACGTATACCATTAGATAAGAAAAATATTGTGAGAGAGGTTTTGAAAAAAGCAGAATATATAGACTGGGATAGTATATCTGCTAGACTATTATATAGTGGTTCTATAAGAGTTCATGACATTGAAACACTTATGTCAAAAGTTTTATATCTTAACTATACAAATGTTTTCAAAGAGGACATAGAAAAATATATTGAGGGTATAGAGTTTGTGAGATGTTATTGGACAGAGTTGTATGAAAAATATAAAGACAAGGAAAATGTTTTCTTTATAGTGGACCCGCCGTTCTATAACACATGGGATTTTCAATACCAAGTAGACTGGACTTTGAGAGACTCTTTAGAAACTTTAGACGTTTTACATAACTGTCCATGCTTTTACTTTACATCCGATAAAAGTGGTTTGGAAACCGTTATGAGATGGTTAGAGGACATACATGACTATGAGTTTAGATATGACAAGATAGAATATGAGAGAGGTCCTATAAACCGGAGAAAGTGTCACAATAACGAAATTTTATTAGTAAGTAAATGTGGTTTGAAATAGGACTACTTGTTTTAGGTTTTTTCCATTGTGTCATTTATTTCTTTGACGTGGCAGAAAGATATAGAGAATATGAAGATGAACCAATGCCTGCAAATGTTCAGTATATGTACTCGTAAGAGATATTTTTATCTAATATTAAATGGACGCACAGAACTTAGCGAATGCACAGCAACCTGGACAACCAAACCCAGAGAATATTCCAAATGAAGTTAGAAATACAAACTGCAATGGCAAACCTATGGTCAAGTGCCAACAGATGTACAAATGCAAACTGCCATGTCAAATGACGCTGCGTTAGGTTTGCCACCATGGTATGCAAATATGAGATGGAAAGAGTTTTATACAAACCCTGAAGTGGGATATAAACAACTTTATGCAGATGACGCGAACACAGGAGTTGACCCAGAATATGTTTTCTACCAGAGGAGAAACAGAATGTATGAGCTCCAGTTAAAGAATGCTATGGAACTCAACAGGAAACGTAAGAGACTAGGCGGACATTAGATTTTTACATATAGTAAAATGGGTTTCTTCAGTAGTATTGGAAACTTCTTCAGAAGAGTTGGAAGAGGTATATGGAATGGAATAAAAACCGTAGGAAGAGGAATTTGGAACGGAGTCAAAAATATTGGTAAAAGGGTAGGTCAGTTTGTTGGTATTATACCTAAAGACCCTGAACCAGAAGAACAAGCTCCTGTTATACAACAGCCTGAACCTGCACCACAGTCTAGTTGGCAACCAAATCCAACACCTCAACCGTATTAAAAATTATATTTTTACCGTTCGATAGTAGTTGTATATGAAACTAAGTTCTAAGTAAAACGCATGGTATAATGGAATTATTCTTTTTTCTTCCATCTGTAGTAAACCATACTTGAAAGTCTGAAATACTTCCACTTGGTGGTTCGTATAACTTTGTAGGTTTTTTCGTAAAAGTCATTTGCCAAGCATAAGAAAGAGTTTTGGGCGCCAGAAAATGAAGCATGAACAATAATAGCAGCTGGGTCGAAAACATTTTCATATGTTCCATTAGGGTTTTTCGACTTCATAAAAGTCTGGGTGTACTGGATATGCTGCAGGCTGATTTAACATCCTCATAAATCTATACCATGCCAAGTTGTTATATTTTGTAGAAATATAAACGTTTTCTCCAAGGTCTTCTATTTTATTGATTTTAACAGTTGCATTTTTCCTGTCATAAATAATATCGAGATGGTACTCTCCCTCGTCAATGTTATACTGGTTTGCATATTCGATATAGATATCGTTTATTTTTTCTTGAAAAGCTTGAAGAGTTGTTTCTAAGTTTACAAGCAAACTAACTTGTAAAAGTTTTCCCTGTTCAAATTTCTCATACATACGTTTTTCTTTGTTATAGTATCGAACTTCAAAACCGACCGTAAATGGGAAACCATGTATGGCTTCTGAAATGAACTTCATTCTACGAAAGCCAATAGCTTTTGTGACAGATGGGTCTCTTAGCCATCTTAATGGGTAGTCAAAACGATAGCCTTCATGCTTTACGGTCTCTGTCTCAAACTTTTGACCGACATTAGTAAAAAGTTCATCTAATGGTTTAGTTGTAGCAACTCTTGAATTTTCTTTTTCTATTGAAAGCATATTTTATCTAGAATAAAAATGTCAAAGATAACAGCGTCTATGAGAGAAATACAACACAACCGACAACTCATTATGCAAGCTCTAAATAAGAACACAACAAACTTTTCAAACTATTCTAAGATATCTGAGTCATTGAAAGAAGGAAACTTAAAACTGACATTAAACCCAATGACAGATGAGTTTCTGTTCAAGACAATAAGAACCATACTGTCTGTATAAATCCAACAAAAGGAACTTTAAACGAGAAACCTATAAATGAACTTCTTTTGAAAGCAGATGTTGACAACAAAGCTGACAAAGAATATGTAGACGATGCAATAGCAAAAGAAGAAGAAAGAGCTAACAATGCTTATGCAACAAAAGAACATACTCATCCTGAACTAGCAGACAAAACATATGTTGACAATAAAATGTCAAGTGAAGTGACAAGAGCTGAAAACGAATATTCTAAAAAACTCATACACATTCTATATCTGAAATAACAGACTTAAACGTTAGCCTTGAAAAGAAAGCAGATGAGGAATATGTGGCTAGTAAGTTAGAGAAGAAAGCAGATAAGGAATATGTGGATGAAAAAGATAACGAAATGAAAGAAAGGGTTGACTGGTACCATGAATGGACATCGAAGATTTTAAAAACTAAAGCCGATACAGGATGGGTTTCAGGATGTTTAGACCTTAAAGCAGATAAAACTTATGTTAACGATGAGTTAGAGAAGAAAGCAAATAAGAACCATACACATACAAGTTTTACAACTGTTGCTATAGAAAGTATTGAAGGAACGGTTGAAGAAACTGGTGGGGATGCAATATATTGTAAACCTCCTAACTTTCCACAAGGTTTAACATCGGATGACGACATAACGACGATGAAAAACATTAGATGTAAAGATGTTTATGTCATGAAGGATGAACATAATATTAAATTCACTGCTCAAGATTTATATGACAAGAAAGCAGACAAAACAGAGCTTCAAACATTAAAGACAGAAATGCTTCAAACATTATATCCTATAGGCTCTATTTATACGTCAATGAACTCTACCAGACCAGAAACAGTTCTGGGTTTTGGAACTTGGACTCAAATAGTCGACAGGTTTTTGTATTGTGCAAACTCTTCAAAGGAAACAGGTGGAAGTAAAACGATTTCAGGTGAAAATTTACCTGCACACAGTCACTACATAGATTTAAGTACATCTCAAGCAGGTTGGCATAAGCATAGATATTGGGATTGGTCAGCAATGACAAAAGGTAAAGGATATGATGTTAAAGACAACGTTAAGTTTGCTATAAATTGTTTCTGGAGTAACACTGAGGGAGGAGGAAACCATACACATCGCGTTTCGGATATACGCAAACAACGGGACAAAGTAAAGAATACATGCCACCTTACATGACAGTTTACGCATGGTATAGAAATGCTTAGTCGTCATTTTCAACTTCTTTAGCATATTCGTCAGGAGTTGTCTTATATTTGTTAGGAACTGTCTTTGAAAGTATACCACCTTGAACTTTGACAAGTTTGAAACGAGGTCTGACAATAGTAGTTTTTATCTTCTGCTTGCAGTGTGTACATTTTGCCATGTTTGCCTAAAACTTCATAATATTCTCTTGTATACTTTCTTCTATTTTTACGAACACGAATGTGAGTACCTGTCGGGTTCCCATTGTTGTCATAGTCAATAGTATTTTCATATGGGTCGCGTTTAGGTATTTCTATTTTTACTTTGTCACCTTTCTGAAGTTTGAAGCCCGGCATTCTTTCTTGTTTGTCTCTTTTGACTAAATTATTAAATATATAGTCTTTCTCTAAGTCAGGGTTGTTTTTCATTTCTTCGGGGGAGTGGTTTCCCAAACCTTTTTGTTTACGGTTATTGTAAATATTTAAAACTTGTCTCATCTTTGCCATGGAGAAGTGTCTATACTTGTCGTCATATGACATTTCATTTGCTTCACCACCTTGTGGTTGGTTTAAGTCTCTTAACATTTTTATACAACCGTCAATGACACCAAGAGCAGAATGGTTTTGGTCGACAATGAAATATTGGTTTACATTTTTTGAACGCAGATAGTTTTTTACATCATCTGATTTGAAAGAACTTTCACAGTCAGATGTCAGTTTTGTTGGATGGTATTTGTCAACGAATATTGTCAAAGCTGCTAAGATATCTAAAATATTTGGACTAATGGTATGGCTTCACAGTATCTTGTGTTTTGACCGACAAATATTAGCCAGTATGGTCCATCTGTTCTAACTCTCGGAATGTTTTCCAAGATATCCATAAACCAAGCATTTGGTGTTGAACTAAAGATTTTTATCATGAGTGCTTTCTTTGTCGCTTTAGAAACATAGGGGTCCTTGTTTGGATTCGTCATTTTTTATCCTATAAGAAATGGGTTTATTTGGCGCATTAGCAGGAGTCGCATCTAGATTTTTACCCGCAGTGGGAACAATAGCCAGAGGTGTATTTGGAGTTGGAAGGAAGATTTTGAGTACATTAGGTATACTTAAAGAGAAAGCACAACCTATTATACAAACTGTACAGAAAGGTTGGGATGTAGCACGAGATGCAACAAATCTTATTCCAAATCCTGAAACAAGAGGAAAAGTTCAAGGATGGATGGACAATGTAGGAAGACAAGTAGGAAACTATTATAACAAAGCAAATGACTACTATAACCAAGCAGGACACTATATGGACCAAGGTGAAAGATTCTTTAACAGAGGATATAACCATGCACAACAGTGGGTAAACAATAACCAACCTCAACCGCCTCAAACGTGGGGAATGTAAAGTTTTTTATTGAGATGAAATGAACAATGCAGCATTGAGACAAATGGGTTCAAGATGGATTTGTCGACTTCCAGCAGTTACACAACGTGTTTGTCAAGTTCTTCCTATACCTCAGGAAGTTTTAGACCGACTTAAAAAACAACAACAACCAGTTGAAAACAAACCAAACTAAAATTTTTTACTGAGATGAAATGACCGAAGAAGTTGAAACGGTAGATTTGACACCACAAACAAAAAGTTCAGAACCATTGTCAAAACCTGTCAAAGAACTTACAGATGAAGAGAAAAATTCAATAATAGAAAGTGCCAGGTCTGGAAATACAAACCCTAACTACAAAGTCACTTTTCATAAAAATGGAACGGCAAGTATCTCAAAAAAGAAACAGACTCTCACAAATAAAATATTGAAGTCTGAAGGAGCTTTCGAGACAACAGATGGAAAAGTTTACTTCACTGACCAACAGTTCATTATAGAACATCTCATTGACTTAGAGTCGAAATATTCTAAACTTTACAACAAACACAAAAAGTTGAAAGGAAAACAAAAACAAATGGCATATGATATTTATGAAGATGTTGACGACACAACTGTTCCTGCAAGTGAAGTAAAGTCAGAGAAACCGAAAAGTGACGAAAACCGATAGAAGAAGAAAAACCAAAAACTGAAGATAAACCAAAACCAAAGTTTAGTTTGGAAACTAAACCAAGTCAACCTTCATTAGCTGGTATGGGTTGGCGTCAAAGACTTATGGCAGCAGGCGGTTATGTAAAGTAAAGAAAAAAATATTTTTTTTCTTTTTATAAAAATGCCCCCATATAGAATGGATAGAAAGTCTGCTAGAATAAAAGCAGAGTTGCAAAGATATGGTTGGAGAGTTTCGAAGAAGTTTAAATATAGGAAGGGAAGACCCATAAAAGTCTATGACAAACTGGCTGGTCTGACCTACGAAATGGATTTGGAAACAGCACGTGCCAATTATCCAAACAGACTAGAGAGGTTAGAAGAAGAACGTCTTATGGACATGCCTTTCGATGTTAGTGAACATTGCATGAAGTAAAAATTTATTTTTTAAAAAGTGACATTTTTTAATTTTATTTGAAATGTACGCTGAGTTTGTTGGAGAAGACCGTTGGGAAACTTGTTTGTTAGATGAGAAATATGAAATGGCATACCATTTTAAAACAATATATTTTTCATATATTAAATGCTTCAGGTTGAAAAAACAAAGAACAAAAGTAGCAGATAAAAACCGTTAGACTATATCTTTACAAATGCTGGTAGGACTATTTCAGATGAAGAAATTTCATCCCGAGTATACAGGTTTGACTATCCAATTCGTTGGCTTCAAAGTCCTTCAGATGCAAGGCAATAGGATTTAGAAGAGTTTTGTTTTCAAATAGAACTAACGCATTTATGTTCGCAGTATATTTTCATGGGCAGTATAAAGGTTCTGATGGTCTAATAGACAAATTTGACGAAATGAGGATCTTTACAGTTCGTTCAGACGAAAGTCTTGAGAAAACTCTAAATGACTTTCAAACTCAAATGAACAAATATTATTGGGAATTTCAAGAAAAATACGACTCTTTACTAAATGGAACATACTATCTGAAACTAGAATATGACAAGATGAACTCCACCGTTTCATTTCAAAAGATTGAAATTAACCCTCCAAGAGATACAGAGTTTTTATTTTGGAAAGTAGACAAACGTTCTTGGGCACAATTTCTTCGGTTACTAAACCAGAACGAACCATTACCACCAGATGGTCCATTTAAATTTATACTTCCACCAGCAGATTTGACAGTTTATAGAAACGTGTTTGACCCTCAAAATGTTATGTGTCATGCAAGTTTCAGTTCAAGCAAAATAGTTTTCTATGTATTGGTAAGGACTTTTATGACTTTGCTTCTAAATTCTACGAACCACCTAGTAACAGTTTCTCTGACTTTCAAGTTTGGTTCACAAAAATGGTGTGCAACATATTATTCCATTGTACTATGACTTTTATCTCGAATTGTCTTTCATATATAACTACGGAAAAGTGCTGAAAAAGTATTGAATGTGAAGATATTAGAAAATAACACGTTTTTAACATCGTAGAAAACTCATGAAAACAATTTATTTTTGACACTTTCACAAAAAACATAAAAAAGTGAAGTTAAACGTTAAGGTTTACTGAACTGGTTGGATGTCGCCTTCTGAGGTTATGAAGAACGGTTGTCCTGAGAAGTGGAACAGTGCTCTGAGAATTTGTATAATTCGTGGAATTGGACTCTCTCTGTTTGGAAGTAGTATCCAAGGACGCTTGGCAAAGAACTTGAGAAGAGCTTCTTTCTTTGCTTGCTTTATGCCATCGTAGGCTGTCCCGTCTGGTATTTGAATTGGAATTCCAGTCGAAATCTCGAGAGTCAAGGCAGCCCTTCCAGAAATAGTGGTGAACTTGACCTTGGGCTTCATGACCTTGCGCAAGTAGTCTTTTATGCAGTCGTTAATTTAAATTAGGTAAATTGCCTCGTCAAATGGCTCGATGTTGTCCATTGCACTGCTTCAGAACAATACTTGTACTTTTTCAGAACAATACTTGCACTGCTTCAGAACAATACTTGTACTTTTTCAGAACAAGACTTGCACTGCTTCAGAACAATACTTGTACTTTTTCAGAACAAGACTTGCACTGCTTCAGAACAAATTTCCCGTAAAAGCTCTCAATTTGTGAGAAAAATTTTCTGTTTCAGAACAATACTTGTACTTTTTCAGAACAATACTTGTACTTTTTCAGAACAATACTTGCACTGCTTCAGAACAAGACTTGCACTGCTTCAGAACAATATTTGTACTGTTTCAAGACAATACTTGTACTTTTTCAGAACAAGACTTGCACTGCTTCAGAACAATATTTGTACTGTTTCAAGACAATGTCCGACGTACCACCAACCCAGTCCATTCCCAAACCAGAGGAACCTAAAGCACCAGCCCCTGCACCTCAGTTCCAGCAAGTACCTCCGATTTACTACCAATTTCCACCTCAAGGTTACTACCCACCACAAGGCTTCCCGAACTACCCTCCTCAGCCTATGCCTTACTGCCCCAACCCTTGGATGTTCCAGCAAGCTCCACCCCAGCAATTCCAATCTCAATCCCAATCGAAGAGAGCCCAAGAGTTCGAAGAAGGTCTGAACCGTTTACGCAAAGATTATGCCACAGCCCCTATTGAGAGAAAGTTGTTCCCGGACCAAAAATATAATTTAGGGTAGAAGGTTAGATCTCACCTGTTTTTTCACCTCTTTTTCACCCTCTTGAATTTGTCATGAATTTCCTTAGGATAGAAAAAATAAAGTTAGTTTTATACAAAATTCATGCGGGAAATTCTTGAGTTTTGGTTGAAAGAATACGGTGGAGCCAAAAGTGGCTCGACCTCAAAACAAGCATTTTATGAGCTTACAAAGGGTGTTATGAATGAATTCAAAGGTATTTGCATACATCCTGACCTCGTTCATTTTGTTCCCGGACCAAAAAATAAAGTTTAGGGTAGAAGGTTAGATCTAACCTCTTTTCTACCCTCTTGAATTTTCATGAATTTTCATGAATGTTTTGTCATGACTTCTTCGTAAATGTTTTGTCATGACTTCTTCGTAAATGTTTTGTCAAGACTTCTTCGTAATGAGTGTAAAGGACCCAAAAATATAATTTAGGTGAAGTGGTGCGATCTCACCTCCTTTTTCACCTGTTTTTTCACCTCTTGAATTTTCATGAATTTTCCCGAAATAAAAAATAAAGTTAGTTTTATTTTTTTTATTTTTTTTATTTTGTATAAAAAAATAAAAATGTCAAAAACAATCGGCACAACAACACTTCAAACAACTACAGCACCAAACTCGTTAGTCATGAATCCTACGTCAATGTTAGTAGAGATGAAAAGCTTCATTCCTTCTTCATATACTTTCGAAACAGAAATCCAGAAGATAAAGCAGGAACTTTTAACATGTAATTTAGACTGTAGTGCGAAAGATGAAACAAATGAACAGTATCTTTATGAAATGCAGGACATTATTGACCATTTGCCTAAACTACCTGAAATTCAGCAGCAAAAACTCACTATTCCTGAATTCGATGAAATAGAAGTCAAAGCAACTGACTCAGTAGAAATAAAGAAGTTCATACGAAAGGTAAACTATGAGTTTCTAGGATTTCATTGCAACCATAAAGTTATGGACAAAGATTGCGACATGTTATATAAGAACATCTCTGACATATATAAATCTGAAGAATTTAAGACCTACGACAACTTTGTTTCGTTAGTTGCAGAATGTGTATGGCAGATAAGAGATAAAGATAGAAGATGTAAGGTATGGAACAAACAGATAAAACCAGCAGCTTTTGAGATGAAGGGAGCAATTGACGCTTTAGTTGTTTTAGCAGGTAAGGTTTCAGAATATAACGCAAAAATGAACCCGCAATGTTCTAAATGTAAAGCAGCAATGAGGAGATATAACTACTCCGTCAAAGAGATAGAACGTATGAGAAACGACTATGCAGACTTAAAGAAAGAAGCAGAAAAGCCAGCAGAAGATAAAATGGACATGTTGACATTTCTGAACAAAAACTATCCAACTGCTGACGATTTCCTTCTATCTGACGTCAAGAAGAAATATAAAGAGACTTTCGGCATAGTTAAAACATTCGATATCCTCAGCGAAGAAATAGAGGCTACAAAACTGTTTAGGATTTCAAATATACATCGTACAATTCATGTAAAACGGTTGTGAAAAAAAGAGGTGAAAAAACAGGTGAGATCGCACCACTTCACCTAAACTTTATTTTTGCTGAATTCTGTATAAAATTCTGAGTAAAATGACATATGGCTTGTGTCAAACCGTTGAGTTTTCACAAAATTCCAAAAATAACGTTTACCATGTAAAACGCTTATAAAATAACTGAGGTGAAAAAACAGGTGAAAAAACAGGTGAGATCGCACCTCTTCACCTAAAATATATTTTTGCTGAAAAAAATGACCAAATTTCATTATATAACTGTTATTTTTGACGAAGTGAACTTTGACACTTCGTAAAAAAATCCCTGAAATCATATCTTTTATACAAAATAAATGAAGAATACGAGTACATACAGTTTAACAAACAACTCCGTCTCATTCGTTCGGTCAAAGACGATATGTACCAAATGCAAAGTATTTTGACAGCATGTTTTGCTCCAGAAACCAAACATACAGACATTGGTTCAAAAACCAAAGCACACAAGAACTTTTGAGTGAAATTTCTCTAGACCGACTTTTTTCGGTCTAGCATAAAACTCATGAAAATCGTAAAAAAATGACCAAATTTCATGAATTTCCTCATATGTTTGCTACCCGAGGAAAACCGCGGGTAGAGATTCCGTACGAAAATCGTAAAAAATTGCGAGTAGGGAAAAAAACCTGGTCGCCTAAAACTCATGAAAATCGTGAAAAAATGACCAAATTTCATTATATAACTGTTATTTTTTGACGAAGTGAACTTTGACACTTCGTCAAAAAAATCCCTGAAATCATATCTTTTATACAAGATAGAAAATCTTACTCGCCTAAAACTCATGAAAATCGTGAAAAATTGCGACCCAGACTTTTTTCGGGGTCGCCTAAAACTCATGAAAATCGTAAAAAAATGACCAAATTTCATTATATAACTGTTATTTTTTGACGAAGTGAACTTTGACACTTCGTAAAAAAAATCCCTGAAATCATATCTTTTATACAAGATAGAAAAAATAAAGTTAGTTTTTTGTAAAATATTTTTTTTATTTTGTATGTAAAGACATATATGACAAACACTGAGTTTGAAACAGTTAAAAAGATAGACAATGACACCAAATTGGTTAGAATAGGTGATTTAAACGTAAGATACTCAAAGAAATACAACAAATATTCTTTGTCAGACATTTTATCTCCATCTGGAAAGAAAACATACCATTGGGTTGGAATTGCTTCAACTCAGAAAATTTTGACAAGAAATCCTGAGCTTATGATATCGGTAAAATTCTATGGAACTGCAGCATATCTCATCGACAAAAGTCTTATACCAATAGTTTTGTTATGGTTAGACCCAGTTGTTGGATATAACTTCATAACATATGGTTCATTCGATACGGAACGTTGCAGTGAAGGCTTACTTTACATCGTTCAGAAACCGAAGGACTTCAACACAAAAAGATATAAGATAGGAAGAACATATAATATAACTCAAAGATATGACAGTACAGTCAATAGAGTCAAGGTTGTGTTCGTTAACGATATGAGAGCTGCTGAAACAGAACTACTCGAAAAGTTTGAGAAAATGTATGGTGCTCCCATAAAAGGTAAAGAAACGTTTGAAGTAGATGAGATAGATAAAGCTATAAAATTATTTGACGAAGTTGCTGAAAAATACATGTAAAAATAACGTTTACCATGTAAAACGCTTGTGAGAAAACAGGTGAAAAAAAAGGTGAGATCGCACCTCTTCACCTAAACATTATTTTTGTCTGATTTACGCTCATTACGAAGAAGTTTCGACAAAACATTTACGAAGAAGTTTTGACAAAACATTTACGAAGAAGTTTTGACAAAACATTTACGAAGAAGTCTTGACAAAACATTTACGCTCATTACGATGAAGAAGTCTTGACAAAGCATGTACGAAGAAGTCATGACAAAACATTTACGAAGAAGTTTTGACAAAACATGTACGTTCATGTTTGACAAAACATTTACGAAGAAGTCTTGACAAAACATTTACGAAGAAGTCATGAAAATTCACGAGGGTAGAAAACGTGTTAGATCTAACCTTCTACCCTAAAATATATTTTTGCTGAATTCCGTATGAAAACAGTGAAGAACAGCGAGTACGTTAAAAAACGTAGTCGCCAAAACTCTATGAAAACAGTGAAATTTCTCTAGACCGACTTTTTTCGGTCTTGCATAAAACTCATGAAAATCATGAATTTCCTTAAGATAGAAAAAATAAAGTTAGTTTTATTTTTATTTATTTTTTTATTTTGTATGTAAGGACAGATATGTCAACATCAGAGAACACAACAACAGTTATAGTCCATGAAGCTATAAATGAAGAATATGAGTACATACAGTATAACAAACAGTTACGTCTCATTCGTTCAGTCAAAGACGATATGTACCAAATGCAAAGTATTTTGAATGCTCTTCGTTCTACAAAGCAAGCACATCATTGGTTTGAAAACCAACAGACAAAAGAACTTTTAGAAGAATTTCCTCATATGTTTGCGACCCGAGGAAAACCGCGGGTCGAGATTCCGTACGAAAATCGTAAAAATTTGCTAAATGGTTTGAGAGGCTGGTATGTACATAGACTTCTTGTAAATGCTGTTGCAATGTGGGCTTCACCTCGTTACGCTTGTTATATTTTCATGATGTTAGATGAAATTCATAGACAAGAACGTGAAGAGCTAGAGAACAAGCTTGA